GTAATTACAGTTACGTAGACAGGAGTGCATGACACTTAGCACACTGTAATTATTGGCTCATGTGGTTATAGTTCATTTGAAATGAGCTTAGTCATTAAGACAAAGGGCTAAAACTGGACTTCTGAAAACAAGACAAAATTCTAGTGTAAGTTAGGAGAGATTTATGTAATCTCATCCTACTGTAAGGAGTTTGGGCAGTGTTTCCAGAACTGGGAGAAAATTCACAGATACCAGGTTCTAGAAATACAGTTCATAAAAGGTCAGAAAATGGGTTAAGAGAAGAATTAAGTCTATATGCCAGGATATAGGAATTCCTTCCTATTGGAAAAAAGTAGTTGTCAGTGTCCAAATGAAAGGAAAAAATTTGCAAGGCCACCTTAAAAAATCAGATCTCAGTCAGAAGCTGGCCTCATAACCTCTGAACCATGGAGAATGTTTTTTATCGTTACGTGCGCAGAGCCTTGGCATATTCAGCGCTCTCGCATTACATGCAAATTTATTCTCTTGCATGCAGTTCAGGCCTGTCTAAAGATTGATGGTGACTAACGTGATTTTGGTACGATGTTCCATATTACTTTGGAGAACTGTGGGACTTAAAGTTTCTTTTGTTACTTGATGTTGATAGGCTTGTGCTTTTCTTATTTAAAGCTGAAATACGAAATGCACAAAGCAGAAACAATTAAAATATGTGTCTTTGAGGAAAACGTGTCTGCTGGTTACTTGTATATTAACTTGTGAGAAGATGGCATCTGAGCTTTGAAGAACTTTAATTTGCTATCTGTTTTGGCTTAGCTGATGTTTCCTATTCTCTTACTTCAGATATTTGTGTAGCCTCAAAAGCTGTTAATTGTTGAAAAGAGCAAAATGTGGAAATCTACTGGTAATAAAGCACGTGCAATGCAGATGTTTAATGTTAAAGAAAGCTGTGGTTTGGAGTGGGGGGAGGGGTGATGAATTTTGTTCTTTTTTTTTTTATTTTAATTTTTTACAGAGTTATGGAAGACTTAAAAATGCTCTGCATTTAAAGGTAGTACAATGAAAGCAGAAAATAAAACCCAGTATTTTTAGCATTTGCTGTTGCTTATATCACTTCCGTCAGTACTGACATACTGTTAGAAAAGAAGAAAACAGAATATGCAGACTGGAAGCTGAAAAAATTTAACCCTGCGATCATGTTACATCCTAGTAGTGAGAGTGACTGATACTGTAGGGAATTTACATGAATCTGGCAAACTGGCTTCTTAGGGGTGTGTGGAAGGATAAAGGCTGTCTGTTGGGAAACATCTGCATCCAACTAGAAGATGATACATTGGGAAGGAAAAGAGGAGACGATCATTCTTCTGGCCTTGAAATCCATGGATTTGAATCTTCATCCTTTTCCTCTGTGGACCCTAAACATGTTAGTAACACTTAAAGTTTGACTAATAACTATTATAAGCAGGCTTCAGGGCTTCAGTTGCCTGTAGGCTCAGGAAGAAATAATTTTCCTGATGCGTAATTTGGCTTCTTGGCTGCTGATTTGTGCAGTGGTGGATCATGCTGGGACAGCTGAAATGATTCCTACCCCAAATGTTATGTTTTGCCAATGTCAGAGCAGCTGCCAGGCAGGTGGCAGGAGTGAGAGAAGTGGCACAGCCAGCAGTTCTTTGGCTGCTGTGGATTATCATTCCAGAGTATGGAAGTACATCTGCTGATGTGTTAGAGACTGGCTGCAGTATTAGGTTGATCATGGAGTGTAATGGCATCGGTGCAGGCTTTGAGAAGGAGCTGCTCCAGAAGAAATTGTCAGGGACTTTGCAGAAGCGGTCGTCTTCCTCCGTAGCATGGGGGGAATGGTTCACCAAGTAAAGCATGCCCAAGTGATCTCACACTTAATTGCTTTTGGCATTGGTAATAACTTCCACTGGTGACATACATGACTTGTATAGAAAGACAGAGAAGGCTATTTTTGGACTTACACTGCAGAAGCTTGTGAACTTGCTTAGCTTAGGTACTGCAAGTGCACATAGTGAGCAACTGCTTCTAATTCTGGAACGGGTGAATACTGAGAAGGAAGCAGTGCCTGCGTTTCACTTTGAAGGAACCTTTGTCCTTTCTCTGGGCTGCATCAGGCAGTTTGAGAGCTACACACATAAGGGAATTCAGGCGATTCCTTACGACTCACTAGTGGAGCTTTTATAAAATATCATCATTTTTGCCTCGTTTGAATGAGGTGACTGGTTGCTTCATCCTGAATTGAGAGTCTGAGGAGTCGGTTGCAAAAACAAGCTTTCTTGTCAAGTGGGGTATATGCTTGTCATTTCCTTGCTTTGATGAAATCACTGATAAAATACAGAGGTTTGAAAGACAGTCTAAAACAAAGTAAAAGGTATAACCGCAGAAACATCTTCATGATCTGGTTTCAGATGCAACTGCTGTGAGATGGCCAGCAGCCAAGCTTTGCAGTGCGTCTGACTTCACCTGGCACTAACTGTCACCTGCTTTCTGAAAACATTTTCTAAACGATCCAATGATGAATGGCACCTCTATTTAACTGTGTCATCCGCTCAGAATGTTCTGTAACATCTGTTGCTTTGTTCGTAAGGTAAACCGAAGATGAAGTAACTGTGAAGTGGCTGAGAAAGTGTTTGGGGTTTGCAGAAGGGCTGCCTGAACTCAGGCTGCTTGAGCGTCAGACTTGGGCTAGATTCTGGGAGCTTCTGTATGCATTATTACAGAAGAACTGATGCCTCTCTGCTCTGTGTGTATCATATTTAAACTGGGGGGAAAAAACGGTAAGAAAATATGAAGAATGCAACAATGTTCATTTGAAAAAGTGCTTTTTTGCATTTCAAAATGATGACAGGTTATGAATGTAAAAAGCCATTTTTTACTGGTTTTTGTTTGTTCTGCCTGATGTCACTGTGAAGTTTGGTGTGTTATTATTTGTCTCTAAATCAGAAAGCTAAAAAACTAAAAGCACCCAAAAGCTCAGCTTCAGAAGTACAATGCCTTTTCTTTACTAGGAAAGAAGTGCTCTCATAGATAAGTTTTTTTATGGAACTGTTGTTAAGCTTGATTTCAATGAGACACATTTGTAAACATAATTTCATTATGGATTTCTCTCTAGTTAAAAGATGACGTTTTTTCTTCTGAGTCAGTTTGTAGCTTGGGTTTTTTGTGTGGAGGATAGGCATGGCATTTTTCTGAAATTTTGATTAACTATCACACTTCAGTTCTTAACATAACGTGTCAGAGCTTCGTTTTCTTTCTTTTTGTGCTGCAATTCTCATATAGATTTTGAGTGGTTTTTAAGGCAAAATTAAATGTCTTGTCCATTCAATTGGCAGTATGTATACGAGAATCCTCTTGTTCTTTGTTTCTAGGGTTAATCTTTAAACTGATAGATTTGCTACAGTAATTTGGGTTTTGGAAGCCCAGACCTCATTGAATTCTAGGACTTGATATTGCAACAGCTATTAAAATGATGTTTTGTTCCCATGGCTTTTTTGTTTTTGCTCTTGTTCAGTGTTCTCTATAATTCTTCTGTGTAAAAGATTGACAGAACCCCTGTTCTTAGCTTGAGGATGCCTTTTGTTTGTTCTGAAACTCATTAAGGTAACAATAATGACACATGCAAAATTGTAAGCTATTGCTGATGTGATGACTAGTACTGCTCGTGCCACGGTCAGTGCGCTGCAGAACATGCATGTTCTTCACTGCCTGAGCCTCCACTCCTTCCCCCTCAACTGGGATGAGCTGGTCTGCATCCTCAGCCCTGTGGCACTGAACTTTATAATTCTGAAGCACAGTGGCCTGAAAAATAAATGCATAATGTGTGACGGTATTTGGAGGGAGTGGCATTTTGTTTTGCTTTAAGAAAAAAAAAAAGAGAAGCAGAGATGACAGTGGCAATCTTTGCTTTATGTGAACTTTCATTTTTTGGTAGTAAGAAGGCAAAACATAGGATGGTGTATTTTTCAGGAGAATCTATCTTAAAAATGGGTGGAGCTCGGAACCCAGAACAGGATGTGCAAACATACATTTGAAAGTAATGCATGTTCCTTTTATTTTTTAAAACATCTGAGCAAAGTGGCATTGTGACCTTAAAATAATTGTATTTATTGGAACACTGAACTTCAAACTGGGAGATAAAGAGTCAAATCCCCCTTTTTGGGCTGAGATTCAACTTTCTTCTTAACACAGTGTGTTTTTGGGAGCTGGCGAACTTTTAATGTCTTCTCACTGAAATTGTCCCTCCTTTCAGAGAGAGGTGTGTTCTTACATTCCAAATGTCATCAAGCAGAATGATAAACGAGTCCTGGGGAAAAAGAAAAAGTGGTAGGGAAGGGATCAGTTGATACCACAGTATGAAAGTTTTGTGTTGTTTCAGTTTTCAGGTTTGAGGTTATAGCTGTATTTTATTTCAAAGGCTTGTGTTGTTTTTGTGTATTCTATTTGTGACTGAGGAATGAACTACTCATTGACTTTAAGCATATGGAAGCTCTCAAGCCAAACATTTCTAAGCTGTTTCAGATTCTGTGATGTCACTGTCAAGTTGGAGAGTCACAATGAGAATTAGGAAACAGTGTGAAGATTTTCCAGATGTACTGTTAAGATTTTAAGTGTACAAATGAAGCTGAAATTCCAATTGTGTCAGAATTTTCACTGGGCTTCAATGCATTGAACTTGTTTGGCTACCCAGTAATTCACACAGTTCAAATACTGACTTAGCTTAGTACAGCCAGTCTTTCTGGGGAGCCCACAATAAATTGTTAATTTTCATATCAGAAGATTGATCTGCAAAGTATGTTGCTAGATGTATGAACATCTAGGAGCTCTGAGAGTGATTAGCATCCCAGACTTGTGTTTGCTATTTTGTCAAACTCTGAATTGTTACTTTGGGTGCTTACAGCTCTATCTACAAGATGAGGTACTGCAGATTTTAGATGTATGTTGCTCTTGTTATTACTAAGGTGTTTTTCTGTTAACTGACTTCAGTTTTTTGTCTTTCTGCACAGCTTTCATCCAGTCGGATGGAATAATAGAAATGCTACGTTTTGATGAAGGAGACCTTTTGCAGGTATGTACTCAGTAACTTATCTGAATTAACAGTGCTTCATCATCTCATATTAGATAGCTACTTTCTGAAACTCACGGTAAGCAGTTTTCAGTGTTGGCAAAAATGTTTTGGCCTTCCAGGTTTATCTTCATCAGTGTGCTTTGGTGTGTCCTGAGGCTCTTGTCCCCTTGATGTTTTGTGTCAGGAAACTGGTGGAACTTATCACCAGTTCTTTCTGGCCTGTTTGTTCACATTTTATTTTTCTCCTTCTCAGAAAAACTGGGGGCTTTTCTGTGCTCAAGGTTCATCTTGAATACGGAGCTGAGATGCACAACTAGAGGAGCTGAGAAGTGTTACAGGGTTCCTTAGTGTAGAGGTAGCCTTGGGACCAATTTACCACTGGGTTTAAAGAAAGCCCAAGTCAATGCAGTGAGGAGATAGCTGCAAATACTATTTTGTCTGTTTGTCTTATGCCAAAAAAAGCTGAGGAGAATGGCAACATAGTACCTAGAAAATATGTAACGTTAAAAGAACATGTGCTGAAATTGTGATACTATGGTAGATGTTGGGATGAAAGTCATGGCAGTATGGCTTAGCACTTCTTTGAGTTGCTGAGTTCAGAACTTGTATTGACTAGAATTTCATGTGTGCACTAGGGATGTATGTTGAGAATATTTTTTGTTCAAATTCCTGGATGTTGTTAGCTCCAATAGGTGAGAGGAGAAAGAGAAGATGAGAAAAAAAGCAAACAGTTGTTCAGTCAGTTAGAACACTTGTCAGGTGACTGTTTAGCTTCATTAGTTACCAATGCAGTATTTGCTTTACAATTTCTACCTCCCGTTTAGTCTGGTAGAGTCTACAAATGTGAAGGGTATATAGTTCTGGGCTCACTGTACAATACAATTATTGTTCTAGATATAGGAGATATATTCCCCTACCCCTGCCTACCTTCCTAGGCTGTTTTTTCTTCTTGATCTTTAACAGAAGAATAACTTATTTCAGGTTTTAAAGTCATGCTCTACAAGGATAAGAACCCTCACAATGATCTAAGCAATTGAAAGGTTGTTAGGGTAGAATCGTTAGGTCCTGATTGGATTCCATGATCTTTCAGGTCTTTTCCAACCTGAGTGATTCTATGTTTCCCTTATTGGATACATATGTAGCTTACTTACTGACATACAGAATAGAGCAGGGGAAGATTTCCATATATTGGCTGCGGTCTGAATTATTGCATGTTAGACTCAGGAGATTTCTTCAGCTTGCTTGGAAATACCACTTACCAGAATAAATAGGAGAAAAAAATGACTAGATTTAGCTCTTCTGTTCCATACTCAATTAGAATATATTTTGCTTGAGAAGAAGCGTTTAATAAGAATGACTGACCAAATCAATTGAGCCAAGGTGTCAGCACAGTTTTTGAGATGGAAAGGATGTGGATGAGTTCAGATATCTACATTTACTCCTTTTTAACTAATTAAAACCAATCTGACAAACCTAAAAATTTTTCAGTTACTTTAGCATTCAACTTCTGTTGCTCTCAGGAATAGAAAGTAACAGTACTGCTGTGAAACACCTCAATAATGAACAAAGTAAAAAAACCAAAACCAAACAAAATGGATTGTTAATCATTCTGATGTTGTTACAGACGTGACAGTGAAAAAATGGTTTAAATATGATGATGGGACAAAGTCAAACACTCCTGGATGTTGCTCTCTAATCTTTGGGTAGTGTTTGGCTGCTTCTTTTCTTAACATGTTGCTGAATTATTTTAAAATACAACAAGATAGACAAAAATTGTTAATAATTGCTTTATATGCTAGGTGTTATGATATTAAGATCTTATCATTCTTAGGGTAAAAACACGTAATTGAAGCCAGTTCCTTTTAATCGGAGTGGTACAGCATGTTTACTCTGGCTTACAATTTATTTACTGTTCTGTCAGTTTTTATGTGGTGACCTCTTGTGATTACTGAGTGCAATTAAAAAACAAAACAGCAGAGCAGATATGTTGTTGTAAAAACAAATTTGTATCTTGTGAAAGAGCACAAATCCTTACGTATGTAAATAAACAAATTGCAAAATCACGATGGAAATGTCATTAATGCTAGTAGATAACTGTAGCAAAGTCTCGGCTTCTGGGTTTAGACTTTCAGTATATGGATTAGAAAGTGTGCTCCACATAGAATTAGAGAATCATTTAGGTTGGATAAGACCTTCAACATCACCTAGTTCAACCATCAATGTGACCTACCGAGTTCTGTTACTAAACCATGTCCCTTAGTGCCACGTCCACACGTCTCTTAAATACCTCCAGGACTCCATCACTTCCCTGGGCAGCCCATTCCAATGGCTAACCATCCTTTCTGTGAAGAAATTCTTTCTGATACCCAATCTAAACCTCCCCTGGCACAACTTGAGGCTGTTTCCTCACATCCTATCACTTTTCACCTGAGAAAAGAGACTGACACGCTCCTTTCAACAACCTCCTTTCAAGTAGTTGTAGAAAGCAATGAGGTCTCCTGTCAGCCTCCCCTTCTCCAGACTAAACAGCCCCAGTTCTACCCTCAGCTGCTCTTCATCTGTCTTGTCTTCTAGTCTCTGCCAGCTTTCTTGTTCTCCTCTGAATGTGTTCCAGCAACTCTATGTCCTTCTTGAGGGGTCCAAAACTGAACGCAGTATTTGAGGTGAACACGATACTGCACCATATAGCTTTTCCCTCTGTCTTAACAGAGCGAGAATTTTATTCCTTAGCATGTATGCTTAAATGGAAGGTTTATATCTGAATAAATCTGTTACTTCTGCCTATGAATTTAAACAGCATTTTCCAGTTTTATATTTGAGCTCTCCTGCAGAATTTCACCTTGTCAGTCTCAGGCCCACTTCTCTGTGCCTCATCCAAACCTGACAGATGCTTCCAGCCTCTCTGACAATGATGTCATCTGTGAATATTAGGAGTGCTGAAAGAATTATTAAAAGTAACAGTTGTGGAAGGATAAGCTACATTAAGCTAACACACGCTTACTTTCTGAGGATTTTCTTTTGAAAAGTAGACAGTGACGTAAAATCAATGCTTCAGAATTTGCTTTTGCTTCATAGAAGACTGTTTCCCAGGTCTGCCTATTTATTGTGAGAGCTCTAGCCATAAACATCTCAAGTTTCTAGCGCAGTACAGTTGGTGATCTTCCATTCAGACTAAGTGTTTGAAAAGTACTTCTTTTGATGTACTAGTATTCCTTAACTAGCCTAGTCCTACAAATTTCAGACACATTTTCTAATGTGAAATACTTCAATTGTTATAATTTCTCATGCTGTGTTAATCTTAAGTGCATGAAGTGCTTTTCTTACAGGCTAACTCCTAGAATTTTTTTTTTTTTACTGCTATTTATTGCTTATTGAAGAAACACTGGAATAGAAATAGAAAACTGTGAGTTTGTATAGGTAATATATATTTGCTGTCTTTGGGAAACTGCTGTAAACTGTTATTCACAAATGTTGGTAAGTAGAACTATAACCATCCTTAAAATCAAATGGGAGAAGTCTTAATATGACTTGCAGTGGCTTTACAGTGAGAAAGCTGAACGCTAAGGGATTGTGTTACATGCATGGGAGTAAGCATTGCAATCTCTAGCTGAAGGAATTTTAGTATTGTCTGCACAATCTGTACTTCATTCTTTATGTCATGGTAAATTTAGGAGTGTCTTTACACCAGTGGCAACCGTAACTTGTTTCAGGGCATGAAGTTGAGAAGTGTTTCTACCTCAAATTTTTGTACTGTTTGTTGACTTAAAAATGACTTTGACGTGATCTGTAGCAATATTCACATTTCATGTATTTATAGCCATTAATATTCATGTTGCAAACTGCTAAGATACAAACCACGTAAGTGGGCAGGAAAAACGTGGAAAACTGCCTGGGCCATTGACCTGTATGGGTGTAATCTACAGTACAAAGTTCACCTGGCAGTCAGTTACATGTGATGTCCCCTGGAGCTTGATATTGAGGTCAGCATGGCTTGACGTCTTCATCAGTCTGGATGATGGGGAGGAGAGCTCTCTCACAGAGTTTGTAGATGCTGCCAAATTGGGCAAAGTAGTTGGTAGATGGGAAGGCAAGGCTTCTGCTCAAAGGGACTTACACCTGGGACAGAATAACTCCATGCAACACAGCTGTCTGGGTGCTGGCTGGCTAGAAAGCAGCGCAGCAGAAAAGATCTGGGGTGTCTTGGACAACAAGCTGAAGAGAAAGAAGTTGGCCTTGTGTAGTAGGTAGTGAAGAAAGCCACCTGCCTACTGGTCGGTATGAACAAAAGTGAGGCCAGATAAAGGAAGTGATTTCCCTTGCTCTTTACACAAAGGCAGTATGCAGTTGATGGAATAGACTTCACAGTATGCACTGTGGAAATTTAAGAGGCATTGGATGCAGATTGCAGCGTGGGAAACTGTGGAATAATGTAAAAAAAAACAACCTGTGGGTAATCAAACACTGAACCAGGTTATTTATAAAAGTTGGAGAACTGCTGTCTTGGGAGACGATAGTACTCAGTAGCACAGATCTGTGAGTGACCTGCTCTAACTGGAGCTCTGTACTGAGGTTTGGACTAGATGGCCTCTGGAACTCCTTTACAGTGTGTAAGGTATTTTCTCACTTCTTTGCCACTGCTTGTGAGCTGCTCAAGTCTCTCTGCACCTTAAAAGCTGCAGTTGCTTCTTGTGCAGGAAGAATTTCCTCCCCCAGGCTTTAGAATCATTAATTGATGCCCAGGAGTAGGTGACTGTTGCAAAGCCAGAGTCCACAGCATATATTGCATCAGCTGAAGTCAACTGATGTTTTTGTTTCCTTATGTGAGTTTGTGTCATGAAAGTGTGTAGCAAGAATGACTCAGTCCACTTTCAGCTACCTCCCAGATTACAGCAGTCTTTTTTTCATTACCTCAAGCAAGATATTAATGATTAATTTTGCTTATTTTAATTATCCTCCGTCTGAACATAGAGTTGATGATGAATGAAGCAGTGGACTGAAGTAGACATCTATATCAGTTTTGTAGCTTTCTCAACATTTTGTTGCTAATGGCACGTAGCTTTTCTACAAGTGGGGAACTTGCTGCAGTATAAATAATATTTAGAACATTTATAGAAGGTGAGAACCAGAAGAGTGTAGGAATACAGAAAGTTTGGGTTGTTGAGAATTTCATTAATGTTTAAGAAATGTACTTGGTGCCAATAAACCTCAAGTGGTGGTTAAAATCTTTTTCTGGTTTCCCCCCGCTACACCCCACCCCTTTCACCCTTTTTAAACCTTGTTTAAGACACTAGTGGTTTGAGTTGTCTAAACATGGGTAACCAGCGCTTACTGAGAAGCTCTGGACTACCAAAGACATCTACATGGACCTGGCAGGTATGGCACAGGACAGAGGAGAGACAGTTTGCCAGCAGTCACATTGCCATGGACAGTTGATCTCAAGTGGCAACGGAGGCCTATGTTTAGATAACTGAATGTAGTGTTAGTTAATGTGACCTCTTACAAAAAATAAAGATTAGCTATTATAACAAACTGGTGAGATATTAAGATTAAAGTAAGTGTTGCTTGGGACTTTTTTGTTGCTTTTCTGGCTGAAGTTAACATTAATGTCTAGAGTGACATTTGGAGTGTAAGGTCTGGGGTTTTTTTTTTTGTTTGTTTTTTGTCCAGGATCATTCCAAAGCTGTTGCTGAGTTAGTGGAGTATACTTTCAGGTATAGATTGTCTATGTAAAATCTTTCTTGAGGGTGCAAACCCCCAGGGCAAGTTGTTTAAAGTATTGAAACCAATGCAGAAGGCTTTTGCATTTTTCTGAAGTATCTCCAAGACTTGAATGCAAGCATTTGGGGTAGGAGGATTTCTAAGCACATGGTACTGACAGAAAGGGCGATCTTTCTCTCCCTTGCTTCACTATCCCCCTCAGTTGTATATTTCTACTTCTTTTCTTATGCTGACCTTATTTTTGTGGCTGTTAGGCACTTAGCTGAATTGCGAAACTGTTCCAATTGAAATTTTCCCCTCGTAACTTAGCTTATAACTCTTGAAATACTAACAGTGTTCACAAGCAGCCTTTTTGCTCATCTGTATCAAGCTTGTAATTGCAAGGTAGTATTTGTTATTACATAGTATTTCTGTACAGAAAAGTTGTAATAATACTTTCCTGTAAATTATGTTTTTCTAATATTGCTGTATTACAAATGTATATTCTACACTGGAAAATAACCTGTATTTATTAAAAGCTTTTTTTTTAGTTCTCTTTACCTGATAAACCATTGATGTTCAGCAAAACTTGCACTTTATACTGCAGATTGATCAATACACACTTCTTAGTTCTTGGTATTCGTTTGATAGGTGGAAAAAGGATATAGTCACAGTGGAAAACACTGTTGTGAAACTATAATTCTACTTGATGGTCAAGTAAAAGTAATTTGAAACACGTAACTGAACACATTCATATGTCTTTGTTTATCGTGAGACTATGAAGGCTGACATGCAATAAAAAATGAGCGATAATTATAGAAACTGCCACATGAGATTTATTTTTGGTTTAGTTCCATGATGCTATGGTTGAGCTGCTGAGTTTCCTGTGCTCTTTGCTCTTGACTGACCCTGATTTCAAACCTCCCAAAAGTCATTTTATTTGTCATTTTGCTTTGTATTTAACAGACATCTGTAACCACAAACAGGCTTTTCTTCATAAGCAAGTCTTCAGTAGGTTTTTACTTTGTTTTTAGAATTTGCCAAAGTGATTTGTGATTTTAAACTCAACGTACAGGCATTAGGCTAATATTTTCCCTGCAAGTCTGTAATTACAGAATACAAGAGTGTAAACTTGTGTGCAGGATCATCCAGATAATTTAACTCCCAACAGCTCTAGCCGTGCAGTAGTTCAGCTATTGTTAATGATGTGTATTTCTGTTCATTCCTGTATTTTCTGGAGTTAAGTTTGGTCTCCACTGCTTTCTGTTCAAAAGTTGGTCTGAGTAGGCTCTTACACTAAGGCTAATGTTAGGGCATGTTGACTGCTAGTCAGAGTATTTATAAGAGTAGGTAGCAAACAACTTTTCCTACCAAATAGCTTAAAATGTAATAATTTGCTCTTTTGCTAGAGCCAAAGCTAGTTGTCAAGGATGGGACAGTGTTGATAGCAACTATTTTGATTGCCTTGTCATAGGATCCAGACCTGTTGGCTCTGTCATCTGCCAGGTAACCGCTGGTAATTTAATGATGTGCCTTAGTTATGATTCTCTGAATAAAAATCAATTACTGAAAGGAAGATTGTACTTGATTGTAGTGGATGTTGCACTGTCAAGGGTGGTGGTAAGGAATTCAGAATGATTTATATCTGTGAACTTCGGGTTGTAGTTTGGCTGTCTGACTACTTGTGAAGAACTTTGTCTCAGCAATTATTGGTTGTCTCTTTCCAGTAGGTCACTGGTACCAATGCGTAGTGTGGAAGAATGAAACTAGTGAAATTTGGAGAATAGTCATAAATGTCTGTACTGTATTAACTTGAGTCTTACTGGAAATGCAAAATTATGAGCAGCAAAAAAAAAAAAAATTAAGAGGTTGAACTCAAGGCTTGTCAGTGTATGAGCTTAGCTAGGAAAAAAATTGCAAGTTGAAATATTTTACTTAAAAAAAAAAAAAAAAAAAAAAAAAAAAAAAAAGCATTAAAAAAGCATTAAAAAAAGCCCCAACAACAAAAAGAAATGTGCTGTTTTCCTAATTATGGTACAAATATAATAAGCTTGAGTGAAAGCTTCCCAATTTGTTGATTTTTGAATTATAATAAAATTGGTAGTACAGATCAACTTATGTTGTCTCTTAGAATTCTGTTTTGAGGAAAAACTGCCCTGATTATGCTGTGCTTCAAAGCATAATTTCTTGTGAACCCCTTCCTCCTGCCATGTCCTTGCCAGGGAGTCTGCCTGTCTCTCCCAGAGACTTTAAAAGCAGAAAGATAATTGATTCTCTGGTCATTAAAATCAAATCCTCAGGTTATCTTGGTTTTTAAATGGTAAGTAAATTCACTTCCAGCTTTTTTAGTTTGATATCAGTTGTAGGTTTATTAAACCAAATAATTTGATCTTAAATCTGAAATATTACTTACATTTCCAGTCTAGAATTGATCCCTTGTTGTGAATTGAACCTATTTTTCTAAGTAAACGATTCAATAGTAATAATTACTGAAAAAAAAAAATGACTAAATTCAACAAACTGTCTTCAAAAAAAAAAAAAAAAGTTCTTGTAGGGATTTTCACATTTGAAGTAAAGATTTGTTTATTTTTTCTTAACGAAACTTTTTTTTTTCTTAGCAAAGGACAGAAAATATAACTTGTAGATGAATTAGAAGTCAATGAAATGCCCAGCCAAGGGAGTTGATTTTTAGTTCTTAAATGCAAAATGAAGAATTATCATTCACCCTGTGAAAAAAACTTCCTTTTAGTAGTGTTATGAATGGTGTCATTTGAGTCAATATATATACCATGGACTTTGTCAGAATGGTAGCCTTCTTTTCCTGTTGCAGAAGATTAAAGTTCTTGATCTTGGCCTTGAGGTGCTTTTAAGAGTAGGAATGAAATCCTGCATCTGATCATCAAACCGGAGATCAAAAGAGGATTTAACAAATGCACGTGTCTGAATGTGTCAAAGAGGACATTCCATACAGAACCTTCTTGACTGGGATTTCTTAAGGAAGGGCAAACTAGTTGGAATTTCTTAGACAACCTTACCTCCTTCTTTTCGGATGGTTAACTGTAGTGTCCAGCAGAGGGATAGTAAAGGTATCAATAATAGAGGCTGGGAGATCATTAGCAGAGGAGATGAAGTTTCCTGATTAAATAGAAGTTATAATGTTCTTTGTTTTCTAGTTAAATAACACCAGTAGGATTATTACTTGGCTGATACTTGTTTTATACGTTTTTCTTTCTAATTTGTTTCTTGTGTCTCTGGTAGCTCTTTGTATTGCTCCCTATAACATTATAATCTTTTCAGCTTTAAGTTACTGCTTGTCTCACAGCTTGTAGCAGGTTCTATCACTTGAACTGTCTTCAGTTCTTGTCTGGAGCTGAATGGTCTTTGGATAGAAGCTGCTGGCTTAATTTCTACAAGTAGTTATAAAAAAGCTGCTATACATTTTCTCTTCTGATCAGAACTTCCTCTTTTGTTGTTCAAAATATGGTCAATAGCTTGTTAGAGATGTTGACTTTTTTGCCCTCACAGGAAATATAATGCTGTCAGATCCTTCAATTTATTTATTTATTTATTTATTTTTACAGACTGAGACAACTATAGGCCTCAGTTCATATCAACAGAAAAGGTAAGCAGAGTTTTCTGAAAGTTTAATACAGCCATGCTATTGTGAGATTGTTGATATTTTTTGCAAGAATAAAAAAGCTTAGTATTAGAAAAAAAATCAAATACAAATTTTGTAGATTTGAATATTGTTATTATATAGAGAAAATAAAATGTGGAACTTTTTCTAATTTTGATTTTTGAACTTTTATCAATAGAAAATTATTTTGCTTATTTATATCATTTTTATGTTCTTTGAATGTGTGAGAAAGAACAAGCTTTTTATAGGAAAAATAGGAAATGTTTCACCTGATTTATGTGAATTTGATAACAATTTTCTGCTAACAAACAAGAGCCTTGACTATTACACTAAAAATACCTACTGCTACTGTGTGAATAGTGGTGATGTGAGTATTGTGCAGGCTTGGGCAGCTAAATTACTTAGCATAAGAAATAAATTGCAGAATCCATCAAGTTGAATTCTTTAATCCACTTAGTAATATATACCACAGGATAATTCTGTGCAAGTAACAAGGGAATAGATTTTTGTAGGTTTCTGTATTGTTTCACTGACTGTTTTAAGGAGTGGATTTGTTTACATGCTGCAAAAGCTTTTTTGCAACATAGGAACCCTTTTGAAAAACAGCTTTATGATGTTGCTTTCAATAGTTTTCCTTTAGTTTTTGTTTTTTTGGCTTTTTTTCCTCCCTCGCGTGGAACTGTGTAGTATATGAGGAGCGAAAGGTGTCCTTTTTTCTTCCTAATCCCTAGTTCTTTTTCTGAAGACTCCTCAGATAGTTCTTTGCCTTCAATGGAACACAGATCACTGTATGTGTATGTTTGTATTGCCTAAATGTGAGCTTAAGAGCATCTTTTTGCAAGAAGTCTTGAAAAATCTCTGGGGTGAAAAACAAACTCTTCTCATTTTGTACTTAAAAAGGCTTCGTCCCTGTTGATATCATCTTGCTGCCCATCTCTGTTACTTCCTGATTAGATACTTACCTAAATATTGTGAGGTGAATCTGAATTATATGGAAATACCATATGTTTTGGCTTACCTAGTGTTAAGTTTCTAATACTCGATGAACAGCTTAGCAAGGGCAAAGAGCGAATGTGAAAATGCTGAAGAATCTCTGAGGATGTAGCAGGTTTTTCATGCTGGGTGAAATTAAAATAAATCTATTTTATCTTTTGATAATGTAAACAAGAAGAGTTAATATTACGTATTGAAATAAGGCAGCTACTGCATAGTTTAATCTGAAGCTTCAGCCAGTTTGTATATTATGGTAATGTGAATTTTGTCAAACTTGTATTCTAGCAACTTCAATTTGCTTTTTAATTAAGGAAGTGTAGCTTAGTCATGCTGCATAAAACTTGAAAACTCTTGTTGCTTTACCTTCCCTGCTCCTTCCCACCTCTCCTCCCCTCCCCACCCTCAGCACAGAAGGCTTCTCTCTGCCACTCACCACTTCTGCCTGTTTATTTCTCAACTGTGAAGACTCCACATTTTCCACTTAGTGATGTACATGTATGTGCTGCAGCATGTCAGTCGGACTGCAAGTATGCAAACAGGAATACATAAAGGAATAATGATGGAACTTCAAAGGCCCAATTTCGTCTCATGTTGAATCAGACTTTTTGGAGATTGTTTAAATAATTGTCTCAATGGCAACAAGAAAGTGCTGCTTTTATTGGGATGTATGGATTGTGTTTGACTTCTTTGTCCCCTAGAAAACACAGAAATTTTATGGCCCTTGAGAGAGAGGCTCAGGCCATGGATTAGTTCAAGTTTTTTGTTTTGTTTTAATTTCTCATCTGAGAAAATTTCTATCTGTGTTGGAAGTTTGTGTTTTAGAGTGTATTCTAATAAAAACAATGGGCTTACAGATATGAAAAACTTTCTAGTTTGAGAATTGTAGAAGAAATTCTAGAAAGCATTCAAATGATGTCTGTGAAGACTTCATCTCTGGAAGGCAAGACATGTGCGGAGTGGCTGAGGTCCCTCTTTGTGCTGGGAGCAGAGGAGCTGAGGGGAGGCCTGATGGCGGCTGCAGCTCCTCACAGGGAGCGGAGGGGCAGCGCTGAGCTCTGCTCTGTGTGACAGCGACAGGGCCCGAGGGAACGGCATGGAGCTGTCAGGGGAGGGCAGCTGGGGTCAGGGAAAGGGGCTGCACCACAGGGCGGTGGGCGGGGAACGGGATGCACAGGGCTGTGGGCACGGCACCCAGTGCTGGAGTTCAAGGAGCGTTTGGACACTGCTGTCAGATATAGGGTTTGATTTTGGGGTAGTCTTGTGTGGAGCCAGGATTCAACAATTCTTGCTGCGTCCTTTCTAACTCAGGATATTCTGTGAAATATACAGCGTGTTCTACTTCATATCAGTGGCTTATTTGGTTCAGTCACAATGCAATAAAAACATAAAGACTCGCACTGCATACCTTTCAGTGGTGTATTACAAGGTAAATACTCGGTTTGCCTCCTGTCTCTGTTTCTCTCCCTGGCTTTGTGGCTACTGTTTTTCTGCACATATTTCTTTCTAAGTGATTGTGTAAAATGCCATTGCTAGAAACTGAGTGTCTCATCCACATGCTTAACTTCTCTAGATGACTTGTTGATCATTGTGTTTATTAGAGACTGTAATACCTCTTTCCTGATATAGCTTGCAGATATTTCTTTCCTATCTACATAATTTATTCAATTCTTTGATCTGCTTTTTAATGCTAAGTGGGAGGGGAGAACTGAACAAGTCATTTAATTTTTGTTTTGTTCTTGTCTGTGATTGGACTACAGTACATCAATTCAGTTGATTCTGTTCTCTCCTTATGCTTTCCCCACACAACCCCTGAGAAAGTAAAAGTAAACTTTGAAGTTTTAACATTCGATATAATGAGCACATTATCATGATGAAGGGTTAATACTGGCATAAATAAGTCAACCACTGCCTACATGCGGTTTATTAAAAACCTTTATTGCTAGTGTTTTTATTCATCTGCACTTACAGTTGTCACTGATGCCAGGTATTTAATGGAGCAAATATTTTGTGGGAGCTGATTTTCTCACTGAGACTACATTTAATACTCTTATTTCTAAAATTGTTTTAGGTATAAAAATTTAAATACATTTTCTGATGTTTGCAGCGCATCCTTATTTTTTTTAATACTTGAAGGTCACGAATGTGACCAGGGAAATGTGATTGGTTACTTACTCTAGCCTAAAACATTTCATCTTTAAGGTGGCTCTTTCAAGGATATTCTGCCATGAAAAAAAAAAAGTACCCATTGTGATATATTTGACTCTGCCACTTTAAAAACTAATATGGCTAATTTTGGAGACATTTTCATTTTATTTTGTGCCAACAGAAAGAATAGAGTAGTGGCTTTCTGAGAGTTTAAGTGCTACTAAAGCAATGAGATCTCTTTCGGTTTGATGCTTTAATGCTCATGTGTTTATTTCTTTATATTGTTGATTTATGGCACAGGAAAAGAAGTAAAACTCTTTATACGAATGTTAAAGTAATATGGGAAAGATGCATGTAGATATAATCCTTAGATCTGAGTTTTCCACAGTAGCAATTAAAGATGGTACAGATAAGATTCCACAGAGCACAAGCATCTTCCAGGAATCCCAGAATGGTGAAGGGAGAACACAGAAAGACAGTTACTACCAAACTTTGCAGAACTCTTTAAAGATGTTGTCCATCTCCAAATGCAGAAGTGCATGGATGATGTAAAATTGAATGCCTATCATACTGCGATAAGCGGCAGCATTTCTTTAAAATGTTTTTCAAAATGTTCTTAAGTAGCAGGATGTCTTGATACTGGTGGACGTCCGTCTTCCCATGCAGTGATATTTTAAGCATCTTTAGTATTTGCTTCTGGGAATAACCTTATTGGGACTTTAAGTTGCACTTCTGTGGATCACATTTTGTAGTATGTTGTGTCTATGTTCTACTGATAAAGTAGTTATTTAAGTACTTGAGGAAAATGCTCTCTCACACTGATGACAGAATGGAGGTACAGCAAGGGAAATGGTTGTGTCCAGGACTGCATGTAGTTCAGTCTGAAGTCTCACTTTTAAAGTCAGAATTCTTGGAGAAGAGTAGAAGCATAGGGACCATCCTTGAGGCAGTACCACATACAAGCCTTTCCTAAAACTTCAGAGATTCAGATGATTTCTGGCTAATTGTTGGTCTGCTGGAGCTTGCTTGCTGGCAGATGTCAGTAGGTCTTTCTCATTCAAATGCATCTTTTTTTTTTTCATGTTCTTCTTGACCTTGAAGATTAGAAAACTTGAAGGGGCAGGGAAAGAAAAATGTGTAATTCTGATGCAAGCCTGGGAAGCCTAGAGCTCCTCATGCATATGTAATTATTAACTTAAATGTCATTACACTGTAAAGTTGCCCAACCCATGGGTGTATCCAGCCTCCTGTGAGCAATTGCCCAGCAGAACAGGCGTTATCATCATCCTGTAAGTCTGCAGCAAATTGGGCCTTTCAGTAGGCAAAGTCTTGGAATTCAGTATTGCTCATTCCTATTTGAGCCTTATTGTATATGTTATTTATAGTACAGTTGATGTTTGCTATGATGTAGCTGCCTTTACTAACCTCTAATCTTTTAAAAAATCTGTACTAAATCAAGTGATACTTGAACTTTTCAAGTATGTGAAGAGTTGCTTATATCCTGATTGTCCAAGTTAGGTGAAGTGACTTTAATACATTTTGTAATAAAAATCTTCACTATCATTCCTAGAAATACTATAAATATTTCAGATAACTTTTTAAAAGTTAATTCCTTTTACATAAAAGGAATGGTTATGTTCTTTTACCAATAAAAACCAAAGTGCTGCATGGCTCACCTTTCGGGAGTTTGAAACTGGAAGAAATTACAGTGTATTATAGAAAGAACTGTTTTAACAATCACTTGAGAAGAAAAGTATGTATTTCCAGTTCAGTGTTACAATTATCTTGACAATAGAGATGTGTGGGCTTTGCCATTTCCAGTTAAAAAAAGTGCTACAATTTTTTTTTTTTTTTTTTAAATTGGACAGTAAGCTTTGAAGAAGGGAGGTGATCACTTTGAAGACGGGTTCAGAACTTGTTTCATCCTGTCAAAATTTCATTACTATTGTAATTTTCCAGCTTAATTGTGTCTGTAACTCTGGTTTTGCAGAGCACATGTTATGTGAGGTTTGGTTTTAGCTCGTATCTGACTGCTCTATGAGGCACAGCAGCACAATAGCAGCAAGAATTGCGCTTCCTGTAGGCTTAAATTCTGTTCTTCCTACCATTGGGACTTGCACCTGTGTTTTTACTGCTTTCGGATTTATATAAATGTGTGTGATTAAAGCAGTCTGTATGACACCTCATCTTGGGATAGGGCTATTTTTAAGGACTAAGCTTTAAGTAGTATTGAAGATGCTTCAACATCTGGATGCGTAGAGCTGTAAATCAGCTCAAAACATGAATAGATCTCTTACACGTGCACTGTACTTGAAGTGGAGGGATATAGTTGTAGATTACTGGAGTGAATAATTAAGAGTTTCTGTATATATATATTTTTATATAAAATATACTGTGAATGTGTTATAGTGTTGTTGTTGCCCAGTTTTAGGCTACTAGAGAATACATTAAGATTTCATGCTCCAATTTTGAAGCTTCACTCCTATAAATGCCTTCCTTGTTGAAACGGTTCTACAGTTTGGAAAGGCATCTACATTTGCTTGACAGCTATTTTTCTGGAAGGTATGCTAGACAGATCGGTCAAGTTCAAGGCCTCAGCTGAATAAGGCTAGCCACAGATGCCTTTCTGAGGACACCTTACACCTTTTTGCTTTTCCTTTTGATAAGGTAGATTGGGAACATCTCCTGCCCTGTTGGCCTCTAGAGCATCTCTCTTTACCCAGGGTGCCTGGTTACATTTTGGTCTCTGGGAGTCTGTAGTTGTTGATACCAAGTCAGAAAACAGGATCTGAAAGAGGAGTGCTATTTTGCTAATGATAAGAAAAAAAAAGAAAGCCATTGATCCAGAGCCATTGTGTAGTCCTTCCTTCCATTACTGTCTCCCTGCTTTTTGTTCATTGTACGATCAAGAATTTTACTCAGCCTAAGATAAAGTGTTACTGACGTACAGAGATGTGAGTGCAGACACAGTCATTTCATTCTGAACAAGAAAATGTTTCAGTCAATTAAATTGCTTTGTATTCATTGTTCCAACTTACGTTGTGGGTTATTGATTGTGCTCTCTGACTGTGACAGTTTGAACTTAAAAAAAAAATAATAATTAAACATTACCAGAGAGTGGTTTCTGATACTTTGTGGTTTTTACTGCTGGATGGTTTGAGTGGTATTTAAATTTTAGCCTTCATCCGCCAGTAGTCTCTCAGGTACCAGCAGGAGATTAGTACAGGTGAGGCCAAAGAATGTTTCTAGACCAAAGTTACTGTATTTTGAGTACTAAGAGGCTTAACAGCAAAAATGTAGGCTGGTTTCTCCCACGTGACATCAGTACCAGCAAATTGGATCCAGATGGTTTATGTGTTACTACAGGTGTAGCTAGTGAAACTCATGTGTATTGTCATGTATTTGCTGGGCATTCTGAGAAGAATGTTTGGATATTGCTATGAAAGATGATGTAAACTTACTTAGCTTACTGCAACACGTATTTTTCCTCTAAATACTGATGATGAGTTTCAATTATGTCTGTTTCCAATATCTGTACTTCTGCATAGTCTTTCTTGGAGATAACATAATCACGTAAAACTACTATAAATTGTGGACAAGTTTGTCAAGCTGTGTTTCTTCTGCTGAATTAGATATGCTGTTATTTGTATTAATGAATAGGGTAATTCAAGCTGAAAGGAGGCAAAAAGTGTATCTTTTTAAGAATTTCAATTTTTCTTGCAGTGTATCCCTGTATCGGGGAAATTGCCGACCTCTGCGGTTCGAGCCACCGATGCTGGATTTCCATGAACAGTAAGTTAAGAAAGTTTTCTGATCAGTTCACTTAAACCTGAAGAGCTTTGGAAAGTGAAGGACAGCTTGGTGTATGGAGAGCAGCTTCAGTGCCTGACTCAGACTTCAGGACAGTGTAAACTGAAGCGATGACATCTCGAACATTCTTGTTAGCAGTTCAGCGGAGGAGAAGAAACAGCCTAAGTATGCCTTAGTGCACTAATGCTTGTGAGAAACTTCCTTCATCTTTAGTCAGCACTGCTGCTGGATGAAAGGCTCTTTTGTTTACAGATGAGCCGTGGATTATTAACAAAATTTCCTATTCCTTGTTTGTAGGAAAGGCTAAATATGGATATAGTCATTACAGAGATGTGCAAGGTGACACCTGTGTGTTGATACAGTGTATACTTGCTTCTGAAGCAAAAGGAGTTGTAATTTTGTATTGGTTACAAAGAGTGGCTTTCTAGAAATAGCCTTTATCCAAAGACAGAAAGTTAATATCTATGCAATGAAGGTAGATGGAGATCATTCGTTTTACAGAGCTTATTTGTGTCAGTCTGCAGAAATATGATGTAATATAGGAACTCATTATTTTCTGATCGTAGTAAAGACATAATAAATCACAATAAGCTCTTCGTTATTCTTTCAAAATATCAAATATTTGTTGCTGTTAGTAACTGGTCATAGGTAAGAGGACAACAAGGTTCTAAGCTGAGTAGTAAAATATGGAATGGAAAGTCTGGCTCAACTGCATCTTTTCTCTAACAAACATTACTGTGTTATAGAGTTATAAAGTTGAGTGTGGTACAAACTTAGAAATTTGTACAGCAGTTTGCTCTTCATAAAATCATAGAATCATAAACTGCTCAGGTTGGAAAAGACCTTAAAGATCATTAAGTCCAACCATGACCTAACCAAACTACCCTAATTCTAACAACCCTCAGCTAAATTGTGTCCCTGACCCACATCCACAAACACATGCAGGGATGGTGACTCAACCACCTTCCTGGGGAGCCTATTTCAGTGCTTCCAGTTCCTTCAGTCTCTCCTCATAGAGCATATTCTCCAAGCCCTTCACCAGCCTTGTTGCCCTTCTTTGGACCTGCTCCGGCACCTCAGTGTCCTTCCTGTATTGTCAACCAGAGTTCCTGTAAAAATGTATTGATTTAATTTCAAGTGACTTGCTGTTAAAACCAAGTAAATATTCCATTAATAGTAATTACAGAATTGGACAACAAAGATTTTTTTATTTTTTTTATTTTATTTTTTTTTTTTTTTAGTTTTTTGAATTCTCATTGGCTAAAAATGTTCGATTGATGTAGTTTGAAGTCTGCTAATTTTGCAGGTCATCTATATATTACATACTTACCTGATGAGGCTGTATGTGCTACTTTTTTTGTGTGGATTTCCAATCTACTTCATTTTTTTTAAATAAACGAACTACTTTTAGTTCACACACTGACATGAATATGAATACTTCAAGCTGTTCATTATATTTTTGATTTTTATGTAAGCTGAAAGCACCAAAATAGTATGGATCTAGTATACCATTAAAATAGTGCAAATCAATTACTTACAAGAAGCGTAAGAGGTTTTGTACAGTGAGTATAGAACTCAGGGGTTGCTGACTTCTATCTGTTAACACAGGGAGCGTGTGTGTATGTCAGAATTTGGATCATTGTGTTGTGCTTTTGGTGGTTTTTTTTTAATTTTAATCTAAAAGTCTGTTATCCTTAATTTAGCTGTTTAGATGATAACCTCAGGCAGAAATAATCTTCTAGTTTATTAAGACCTAGAGTAAGATGTGAAAAACAGCTTTACAAAAGGTTTTGATTTGGAGCCCCAGTGTTCAGTTTAAAATCTACCCTTAGGCATTTAAATAGAGGTGAACAGACTTGGAGACGTGATGAGCAACTCAAACTTATGGTCTGAATAAACTGCATATGCCGTGCACCCTGGAAGTAAAACAATTCATACTTAATCTTTTGGCTTTTTGCCTTTTAAATTAGACAGGGTTTTCTTGTATTCACTTTGTCTTTTCTTTTTGACAATTATTTGACAATAAAAAGTCTATTTGACAATAGAGAAGTCCTAGAACACGTATTTAGTTTCTGAGTAAGAGTTGTACATAGAGTGTTTTGTTACTAGGTAGCATTTAGTAGAGCAAGCTTGTTCCAAAGGTCATGTTGATGCAAAGCTATCAACATGTATCATTTCTAGGCTAAAGGAAGTTGCAACATTTAATTTCAGTCATAAGATAGCCCATACTTCTTGTAACGTTTTTGGTCTGCTACTGGTGTTTGGGTTTAATCACATCTTTCAAAATTTTGCCAACTAACTGTCTGTGATATTAGTGGAAATCTGTTTTACTAAAATCAAAACTGGGATTCAGTTGCTAAATAAGTCCTGTAGACACACTTCCTTGTGTTCTACCTGGAGATGAGATTACAGTGGTTGCAAACTTCTATTATACGAGAGTTGGTTTTGAAATGCTGCTTTAACACAAAATAATACAGTATTCTACCACTTTGAAGACAGTCCAGATAATCTCAGACTTATCACAAGAAATATGTGCTCTATGTTAGGATATGCAAATCTTTGCTTCAAAGGATCCCAAATGTTCTTGATATACTTTAAGCCTCTGGGAATGGGGTGGGACCGGGGCAGGTTCTTTCAGGTCAGTGATCCAAGAAACTGCTTAGACTAAATGGAATATCACTCATTTTTTAATATGAGAACCTTCTCTCTCTCTCTCTCTCTTTTTTTCTTTCTTTGATGTTAAGACAGTAACCATTGGGTAGTCTTCTGTAACTTTGGAAGGTGATTGCCCAGAAGTTGTTTTGACAGGACAGTCACTATCTGTAAAGCTTCCCATGTTTGAGATGCATCTTCATATTTGAGCTGTTGCAGGTGGTCCATCTAGATGAAGACTATGATGCAGTGTAGTTTTCATTCTCTTCTTGTTTCTGCTTTATGAGAGAACTTAAATCTTCATAGATCTTAACACGTTGCTTTCATCTATGTTAATTCAACTCTGAAAATATGAAAAGTCAGTTCTTCACAATACAATTTTGGCAGAAGTAACTTTTGATGATGGAGTAGTTTGATATTGAGGATTTTAGGATACTGATGCTACAAGTCAGAACTGCTCATCACCAACATTTTAAAATGTTAAATTATTTTAAAACTGAAGTTGTTTTCAGATTGGTTATTGGTAATGTACAAAAACATGCTTTTATTATGCTTCTGTGGTGAATAGGCATTTGTGCATCATTCAGTTTGAGCTGAGTCCCACTCTCTAGATAGAATACTGTCCTACCACCAAAAAACTAAGAAACTATCTTCCAGCATTCTGTTTATTAGCAATCTTGTTTTGTATTTCCTTTAGAATATTTTGCTTAGAAGGGGTTTTAGTAGCATTTTTATTCCTAAGCTCTTGTTTAAAGGATGTTCTGTTTTTGAACAGTAAATTGCAAACAATTTTAGCAACTGAGGAGTTTATCCAAGTCATTTTATGTAAGGTTGTTCTCTTATATTTCAAAAATATATTTATGAAGTGTGCTGGGACCTATCAGGTACCTACAATGTATGCAGCCAAGTATTTATACTGCATGTTTTATAAACCTCATATGCATGAGGTTGAGATTGTGGGATTTTTTCATGTTGCAAAATGAAATGTTCACTTCTGTTGGAGTTTAAATGTAAGAAAGAGTTGACAGTAAGTTGACACTTAGTCCAAATGTACCTCTGATTTTGTTTGTATATAGAAGTGCCGCCAAAGCAAATAATCTTTTTTTACACTGGTTTTTGTTACAGCTGGTGACACTATTGATTAATTCTATGCTAGTACTGTTCTGTACACCAAATTTTGCTAACTGCTTGGAAAAGGTATGATGTGTTTTGCAGGATCTGATTTCTAGCATAAAATGTGACATTTGCTGTTTTGAAGTTTTTTCAAGTTATGTGGACACAAACTTCTTGTCAAGTTTAATATGAAAATGTTCTTCATTTGTTTGAGAACAAACAAAAGTGATGAATAACAAACAACAACAAAAAACCAAAACACTGGAATCTGGAAGCTGATAAACAATTGAACTGTAGCCTTATATATGGATCCCTTCTGCTTTTTGTTTGTTTTGCTTTTTCCAATTAATGAGACAAGCTTGCATTCTCAAACTTCTGGTTTTGGTTACTTCAGTGAAGCATTTTGCTTGGATCGCTCGGCCAGCAATGCTTATAGTTCCATGTGAAACAGGAGAGTGTTCTAGTTGCTAATTCTCTACTCTTGAATATCAGGAACTTCCTTCATGAATCATAGACTCACCAAGGTTGGGAAAGATCTCCAAGATCATCTAGTCCACCTATTTCCCACTCAACCATGTCTCTCAGTACAACATCTAAGTGTTTCTTGAACACCTCCAGGGTTGGTGACTCCATCTCTTCCCTAGGCAGCCCATTCCAGCACCTGAGCACTCTTTTGGAAAAGAAATTTTTCCTCATGTCCAACCCGAGTTCTTGTAAGGAGCCAGTATTTTTTGTAAGAATGGGTTACAGAAGGCATTCTCCAGAGGTAACTCCCAGTATTTCCTCATATAAGTGGAAAGCTGTTGGTTGAATTCTGTACTCTCTCCAATCTTGCTGCAAAGAACAGGAGATGGGAGAATAATTCATCTGCTAAGTTTACATTTTTTTTTGCTTTTGCTTATAGACTGGCATCATTTTTTTTTTTAAATCAGGCCAGCTTTTTTTTTTTTTTCCTAAATGAAAGTATCTCAACTAAATGCCGTAAGAAGAAAATAATTATTCTTTTAAATGGACAGTTTCAGTCTGTTTTTTGTTTTTTGTTTTTTGTTTTTTTTTTTTTTATAGTGAGTAGTTAAATATTTTTGCAAGTCTGAGCCAATAGCTCGAGGATTTGTTTCCCCAACTCCTTGCAGAAACTGCTTTCCTTTAGTTAAGTATATGCCTCTTTCTTTGTAGAGTTGAAATCAATTCCATTACAAAGGTGTGCTGGCAATGTACTTGAGACGCTAACTCAGATGCTAGAAAGAGTTGAGTTGTAACAGTAAAAATGGTGCATCAACACAGGCTTATTTACTTATTTGAACGGGCACCTCACCCTTGGTAATTACCATCCTCTCATCCACATTTTAGTATCTGCTTTTTGTCAGTATGGGGAGACCCAGCATTTTACAGGGACAAAAGATCAGGAGCAAAATATCGCATGATTTGACAGTTCCTGCTTGTCTGAAGATGTGTATCTGTGTCATCTTATTGCAGTGAGAAGTATTAGTTGTGACTGCTCCAGGAAATTCTGTATGATTTGGCACCAGTAAACACTGTACTTGTGCAGATTACTGTGACTAGATAAATCACAGCCTGGAGAGTATCTCTTAGTTGATTGTTGTCTGGGATGTAGGTTTGTTACGTGTGTCTGGTGCACATTGTTTTACCTGAATTTTACTATGTCTCATGAGAAAAGACAAATTCTACCTTTTTTTTCCCCCCCTATTTCTCTAGATTTGGTTAACATCAGGGTTAGGGTATACAAGGAAAGTATCTGAGCGAAGCAAAATATTAGAGATGCTGTTACAAAATCACAATAGTCTACAAAGTTGTAAAATAGAAAGGTAGTCCTAGCAATAGAATTCCTTTGTAGTGACTTCTTTTTATCACGTACAATGTGGTGTTTGTCTGAAATCTGAAGTTCAGAGGACTGTGATGTCTGTCATGACTACTTCCCTACTGTTGTTTTTTGTTTGTTTGTTTTTAAATGGGCTTTAGCCTCTCAAATATAGTGACTTACATTTGCCTCTTTTCAGTACAGGAAAATTGTTGTTGCCTTAAAATGTTGCTGTTGTTTACAACGTTTCCTGGCACAGTGTACTTTACTTCCAAACTACCTTCCTGCTGGGAACAAACTAGAGTTCAGTCTTACCAAATCATTCAAGATAATTTCTTGACTTTGTGCTTTTTTACGCGTTAAAGATCGTAACAAAGCGGTGCTTAAATCAACTCTGATCCTAGTTTTCAGTACATAGTTGGTTCTCTCCAGAGACCACAAGCAGTACGCTAGTCAGGTAGGTTGTTCATAAGCAATACAGTGCTTGAAGTCTGCTCCTATTCTGTTACTTCCTGCTATTGTGGTTGGCTGGAATTATTCTGCTTGATTCTTAGCTTTAGCTGTTGAATTCCTCTTATAAAGAGTGAAGTGTAATAGGAAGAAGATGGTCTCACCTTTTTGGAGAGCTACTGAACATGGCCAGGGAAGAGAATTGTCAAGAAACTATTCTATGACAGGCAGCAGGTTGCTGCTGGGAACTTGTCTTCAGCTGGAGAACATGAGAAGTTGCTGTGAGAACAGGAGAACAGCTGATCCTCAGGAAAGGCTGAAAGCTTTTTTTCACTGTTGTCTTTTTGTTTGTCAGTGGGATCAGAAAGTGTTTATTCAAGGTATGGAGACTTTTCTCTAAGCAATGAATTCACTGATAAATTGCTGGCTTATAGAAGCTCATTTATGTCCTTCAGTTTCCAAGCAGATAAAATGCTCAAGTCCATCTATACAGATGTAATTGAAGGAGTGTTTGAAGGAGGATTACTCAGATGTTGTAGCATAAGAGTAGACCATTTCACCTCTTCTGACTGTGAAGTAGAAACCTGAAAAATAGCATATTTTTTTCAATAGGTACCAGTTGTAGGATAATGCAATGTTAAGTAAGTCTTCATAAAAAATAATCAGTAATCAGTCGAATATTAAGGAAAAAAAATGTTAAGTTAGCCTTTATTTAAGGTAGAATTATATATATTACTTAAACACATGAGCAAAGTTTCACTGTCAGTATTCCAGATGCAATATGTACCTATTTCGCTTGAGAGGACAAAACCCATTGTCCTGTTTGCTAGAAATCTTAACAGTTTAAAATGCTTTCTTCCCTTTTCTGCAGGCCAGTTGGAATGCCAAAAATGGAGAAAGTTTACCTACATAACCCTAGCTCAGAAGAAACAATTACACTAGTATCAATATCTGCTACAACATCGCATTTTCATGCGTCATTTTTTCAAAATAGGGTAAGTTATTCTGCTTTCTCAAAATGAGCTTTTTCTTCATTTTCTGTATGTGAACTTGATTCCTGCCCAACCCTGCTTCCCTAAGTGAGCTATTTATTTCATTAATTATATACCTAAAAATATTAGGATGCCTCAGATCTTGATCTCAAATCGGTTACCAGACAAATTTGAACTGAATGTGGAATCATATGCAAACCGTACTAGAAAAGAAGAAATTAAATATTTCTTAGGAGTTCCAACTAGGGTGTAAGTATATACTGTCACTAGCAGCAGATACCTTTGCTGCTGATGTGACTGTTAAGCGTTCTGTACTTCAGAGCACGTGCACAGCTATGAGCTGTTCTTACAGTCTTCACAAGACTCTAGATACAGTGAAGAGGTATTAGTCTGGAGCAGACACTAATCTAGCTTGTAGCTATTGCAGCCATATCATAAGAACTTGCAAGCTGAAAAGCATGGTGTCAGTAGATTTAATTCTCTTAACCATGTTACCGTCAGATACAGTTCTCTAGTTTCAGTTTTGTGCATAGAGCGTGTGGTTTAGCAGGGTCCAACAAACAATTAAAACAAGTCCTTGCTACAGAAAAGCTGACTATAAAGCAGCCTTTCTCACTTTTCAAAGTTCTGTAGTAAATGCCTTTCTCCTGTGTTCAGTAAGCTCAGTCCAAGGTATTTCTATGTAATGGTGAATTCTGAACTTACAGTTTAGCCTAAAAGTATGGTTGAATATAGTTTTGTGGTAGACGTTAGCTGTAAAATAATGTTTTGATTATCTCATTACCAATATGTATGCTTTTCTCTAAGTCTCTTGTAGACTTTCTAACTTCAGTGTTGAATAAAGAACAAATGAATATCTTCTGTAACACAAAATGTTTTCCTGAAAAGTGCAATGACCTCAATAAACTTGCTTTTCCTTCTTCTTTGCCTTTTTTTTCTTCCCCAGAAAATTCTTCCAGGAGGCAATACATCCTTTGATGTAGTTTTCCTCGCAAGAGTAGTGGGAAATGTAGAGAACACTTTATTTATTAACACTTCTAACCATGGGGTATTTACTTATCAGGTAAGATAAGTGGAGAACAATCAGAAAAAGTTGTAAAATGTGAATTAGCCTTATGGCTGTATCTATTACTGTGTATTTAACAACACAGCAGTGTTTTTCCAGACCAGTTAAAGAAGCTTCCACTCTAGCTGCTTGTTGTAATGCAGTTATATCAAATATGTAAATATCTACAGGCCAGTAATATAAGCCAGATCGCTGAAAACTAGATGGGATTTTATGGGGTGTGTGTTAGTGGCTCGCTGCAATGATCCAACTCATTCTTTTGTTCTTTGCTTATTTGATACATTGATAAGACAGTTTTATTCATTATGCTGGCAAAAAAAATCCATTTGAGATTCAACAAGATAAACTGTACAGATAAAAGAGGCTGAAAAGTGAGATAATTATGGAGTCCTTAGAGTTGGAAAGGACCTCTGAAGGCCATCTAGTCCAACTCCCTTACAGTGAACAGGGACACCACAGCTAGATTATGTTGCCCAGGGCCTTGATCCAGCCTTGCCTTGTAAGTCTCCAGGGACAGGGCATCAACCACATTCGTAGGCAGCCTGTTCCAGTGTCTCACCACCCTCCCTGTAAAAGATTTTTTCCTTGTATCTAATCTAAATCTACCCTCTTGAGCTTGAGTTTAAAACCATTTCTCCTTGTTCTGTCACCACAGTCCCTGCTTCTTTCCAGTTATTCCCCTTTAAACACTGACAGGTGGCTATAAGGAAATCCTCATTAAAGGAATCTAGCTCTTACGTGGCAGCATTTTGAAAACAACAGAAGCCTTTCCCATATAGATACTTTGTTCCATAATCCTTTAATGATAAGATTTAATACCTTTTTAGCCTTTAGCTGGTATTGAGTATTTCAGGGTACCAGAACAAAGGTATTATTTTGATGTCCTGTGATCTAAATATGTCAGTGTAACAAAGTAGTGGCTATTAGAAATACTTGTTTTCTGTAAAGAAACCAATTTTTTTCCAGTGCTTTAGCATGATCCTGATTTTTAAATGCTCAGTGAGAAGTATATTAAACAATTAATTAAAAAGAGTACTTGGTAGACTATTAAAAATTGCATATATATTAAATGCTACAAAAAGGATATCCAGCTGCTTAGGCTTGTTATTTTCTTCTTCTGTCTCAGGTGTTTGGCATTGGAGTATCGAACCCCTATCGTTTGCGCCCCTTTATTGGGGCACGAGTTCCTGTAAATAGCAGTTTTTCTCCTATAATAAATATACATAACCCTCACAGTGAACCTTTGCAGGTGAGCCTAAAAGCATTAAATTCTCATTCATTTATGATACCAGTCTGAAATTTTATTTATTTTGGTATTTCGTAAATCTGTTTGAACTGTAAATCTGTGTGACACCAAGTTTTATACATTACAAAGTTGTGTTTCTGTTTAAATGCTGTTCAGTTGTTCTAGAAATTATAGATTATGTTCACAAATCTTTTTAGTTTGCTGTATTGGGGTTTTACTATAGGTTTTCCATTTTTAAAATCACATAATTACTGCAAGATGGAGAACTACCCTTCACTGGTAGTCAAGAAGAGTAATGAAGCCAATGAAGTAACATAGATTTTGCATTTTTAATCCAGGCATGCCTTTTAGCTCCCTTCTGCTCATTTTGCATTGATAATGTTTTTTGTTGATGTTGTCAGCCAAATATTTCAGGAGGTAATCTGATTTTAATTAGTGATGAGCTTTATTTTATTGATCAACAGTGAAGAAAGAAGAACGCTCCCTTGATCCAATAAACGCAGCCAGAAATGTCCCCCAATGAAATGTGAATGCAATAAGCTCAATGTCTCTCTAGGCTGTGTATTAAATATAGTACTATTGTGATTTCTTCCAACTAGTGGTGTCTTTACTGTGAACCTTAAAATACAGTGGTGGTACAGTGTTCTTGTATCAAGGCAGGATTAATGAATGAAGTGATATCTGAACATAACCAAGCTACTAAATCAATAGCCTGGTAGTGAATTTCTACTATTTGGTAAATGATTCACAAACTGTGAAATTCCACAGAAAGCACATTGAGTGTAGCACTAGCCAGTGGTTTTATCATAATTAAAAGTGAGTTTATTAAGATACTGCAGTGGTCAAATAGTTGCTAATCTTTTACTTTGAACATTATATTATCTGATAACTGAAACAGTCTCCCTTTAATGGTAATTGAACGTTTTCCTGTTATCTACTCCAGGTAGTAGAAATGTATTCCAGTGGAGGTGATCTCCATTTAGAGCTTCCAACAGGTCAGCAAGGAGGTACAAAGAAGCTGTGGGTAAGTAGTAATGTCTGCAGCATTTACTGTAGATATTTAGGGAATTTTTACTTTGATATTATTTTAGGATTGTATTGTTTGTTTGTTTGTTTTTTTACCAAACGTTTGTCATGTAATCTGTAAAAGAACTCCATAAAACTGAAACGATAACAGGATCTATTAGCTATGTGATAATAAAAATAGAAAGTAGAGCTTAATTTCAAGAAACTATCTCCATTTAACTGTTCTTTTTTGAAAGGAGAAGATGAATCACACCCACTTGATCACACAGGACAGTGTAGTCCTTCTTATGCCTTGCAAGCTGGATTCAGCCTACAAGAAGATTCTAAAATAAAACCTTTTTCTTTTTTAACTGAGCAAGTCCTTCCTGCAAATCACTGTGAAGGTTTATGTGAGTTGGAAAAAACAGCTGAATGAACTTAAGGAGGAAGAACAAATTGAGGACTGTAAAACAGCAATGTGTCCAGCTGCAGTAAATCTCTGAATCATGATTCAAGAGTGGCTAGAAATGGTTCTGGAAAGTATGTGTGCCCTACACTATGTATCTTCTGCCAGTGACAGAATAATGGGTTAGAGAGACACTTGGTCTGGCCTATTAAATCTGTTTTGTTGTGTTCTTTGTGATACGTACTGGTATCTTCCCAGGAAATAAGTTTTAGAAGCATTCAGAAGATGAAGTTTTGGTTTTGTGCTGTAGATTACACTCTTAGTAATGTCCGACTAGATATGAAAACTGTTTTCCTCTGTAATGGATATTACTGCTCTTTTTTTTATGTCTGTTTTTGTCTGGGAGAGACTTCTAAGTCATGGGGATTCAAAATTTCTCTTACTCCAAGTATCATTACAGTCACTGACTGTTGTATCTGTTGGAGTGAATAAAGCCAGCATATTTCCAAGCCAAGAAGAAAAATCACAAAAACTAATTCCTGGCTTTTCTGGAGAAAGTCTGTGAGAATGGCTATAATTTTGTTTTAGATACACATATTGCAAAGGAGTAGAAATACAAATCACAAGAATTTTAAAAATCAGTGGAAAGAGCAAACATATTAGGAGTTGGAAATAAGAAATAAAATCAGATTAAAAAAAAAAAAAAAGTGAAGATCTTAATATTTTGACACATAGTTTTACTCAGATGGCATTGCTTCTAATGATCACAGAATCAAAGAATGGCCAGAGTTGGAAGGGACCTCAAGGCTCATGAATCTCCTACCCCCTGCCACATGCAGGGCCACCAACCTCCCCATTTAATACTAGACCAGGCTGCCCAGGGCCCCATCCAACCTGGCCTTGAACACCTCCAGGGACGGGGCATCCACAACCTCTCTGGACAGCCTGTTCCAGCACCTCACCACTCTCTCTGTAAAGAATTTCCCCCTGACATCCAACTTAAATCTCTCCTCCCTCAACTTAAAGCTATTTCCCCTTGTCCTGCAAACATGATAACCCCTTCCTCATGAACAAAAAAATTTAAGGGGACTGTTGAATTCTATAATCATTAGTGAGTATATAAACAACATGCCTGTTTGGTGTGGATAGAACCACAAACAAAAGCATGAAAGATTTTAAATGTCTACCTCAGTTCTGGTTTTGCTTCTTCAGCAAATAGCTATTCAGCTTCCCTAAGACAGGTTACCAATTAAAGCATTAATGACAAGCATGCAAAAGTTGCACTGGAAGGGCATTGGCATTTCAAATCAGTAAAACAAGTCAAAGAAGTGAAACCAATAGGTGGAAGCATGAAGATATAGCAGAAGAGAAAGTAGAGTAAATGATTTGAAACAAGGTTGACACAAGTGTTGATACTTTAAAGTATGCTGTCAAATTGTACAGTGTTGTCACAATTTGTATTGATGTCAGATGTTTTGATGGTTGGATGAAGCAGTCCGCATGTGCAGGAGAATTTTTATGATCGCTATTTAATGGTACTTCAGGGATCTGGACAAACTTTGGATAATTTCTAATTACTCACGTGGAAGAGGGAAATTGCATCCTTGGAGACAATGTAGCGGTTTGTTTATGTTAGGTTTGTGAATAAGTGAGAGCAGAATTTGAAAGTTAAGACTTCTCAGTATAATTTTTAATTCAGAGACTCCAAATGTAGTTACTCTGACTACTAGCAATTCTGCACTGTTTTAATTTGTTTAGCTAGATGGTTTTGACATTTGTGTATGTGTGTGAAACTGTATGTGCTTTGTGTCTGCTTTGGAGAAAAAGCAATTAGAATATATAAAAATAGCATTTGATGTTACTGAACTCAGTAACGTTTTTATCATTAATCTCTCAGCCTTTTCCCACAGTTTTAAGAAATAAAACTTAAGAGGGTAATGAAAGTCCTCTTCTGTATACCTGTTTTTAATCAGTGTCGTATTTGTTGGGAAAAAACTACCCAAATGAAATCTAATGGTAACTTTAAAAACATGCAGGCTCTGTCTTGCTTCCGTTGCTGCTTTTTCTCTTATCATACAATTATGCTCAATACTTCTATTGTAGTTTTTGCTGTAGCAGCTCTTTTTATAATTACTGCAATCTCACAGATGTGCTTTTAATGTTCTGTTAGGAAATACCTCCCTACGAAACAAAAGGTGTGATGAGAGCCAGCTTTTCTTCGAGAGAAGCAGATAATCATACAGCATTCATTAGAATAAAAACAAATGCCTCAGACAACACGGAATTTATCATTCTCCCTGTTGAGGTAGAAGTTACAACAGGTTTGTAAAAAAGCATTTTTGTCGTTATTTAGCTTTATGAACTTGTGCAGTAAGAAAATGGTAATGTCTCTTTTTCTTCCCTTAAAGCACCAGGAATCTATTCATCAACAGAAATGCTAGATTTTGGTACGCTACGAACACAAGGTAAAGCTGTACTTCAGATCTCAAAATATCTGTGAGGGGCAAAGGGAAGAATGGTCATCTTTGTAATTGTCCTAATAGATTGTGAGATTATGATTTTATTTTGGTTTTTTTTTTTTTTTTCAGAGCCAGAGTTTCAAAGATAGGAAAACAATGCATTGCTACTGTGCACAAATGTGTTTGCCTTCAAGTAAACTTGTGATGTTTACAAGCAAACAGTAGTTCCCACATTTAGTTATAAGTCAAGTACTGACACGAGTCTTAAAACTTACTTGTACATGGCTTAACCTGAAAACTGCTGTTGGTTTATTTCATTATTTTTTTTTTTAGGGAAAGATTGCTTTATAGCTACAAGGCTTTAATATCTTTCATACACAAGAAATAGTAAAAGTATGCAAACTTAACCAAGTTGTTTGTGATTTCTTCTTTTTTAAAAATGCCATTTACAAGTTTATGCTGTACATTTTGCATTAGTATTGCTTAGTGAGATCAAAGAATTATTTATGCTTGACAGAAAGTAATAAAACCAAAGGTATCTTCCATGCAACGTAGCTAACAAATAAGATTACCAAGTAAGATTGTCTTTGCTAGTCCATCTGGCCAAAATCATGCATTTTACTATTTTTAGCTGGTTCATTTCTTAATGTGTTAGAAATAAATGTAGTTAACTGAAGCATGTGGTATTTACTACTATAAAAAAATGCTGTTTAAAATGTCATGTTCCTGAGGCTAGCTACTTTGGCTGTACTACCAAGTTAATGTAACTCTTCAATGCTAAACAACGGTGGGTTTATGAGAAACTAGCTAGCACAGATAACTTTGTATAAGGTTTTCGTATTAACATAGCCTAATAGTCTGGTGTGATTTTTGTTCTTTAACAGATCTGCCAAAAATTTTAAATCTGCATTTATTAAATTCAGGAACAAAAGATGTGCCAATTACAGTAAGTTTTATTTGAAACTTTCTACCTGTGTTTACTTCATCTCATGAAAATTGATCATTTCCAGATAATCCATGAACCATGCAGAGTTCAGAAATAGAAGCTAGATAATAGATGACTAAAATATGACTTAGTATTAAGAAAAGAAATCATGTATATGCATGGTAACATTAATTTGCTTCATAGCCTTCTTTCAACAGCTATTTCAATATCATAGATATCGAGATTGTCTACAACATCTTAGGGTCTCTAAGCTTTTCTACTTGTAATTCCAGTTTGGCATACAAGAGATTAAGGTTCTGTGGGATTGTTTGTCTACATCAGAGTCCCTTAAAGCATATGAAGTGATGTTCCAATGTAGTCTTATAAGATGGGCAAAGAGTAGCTTTTAGAAGCAGACTGCAATGTGGCCCTTGTTTTCTTGAGTCTATCTCATTTGTATCTTGAAATAAGAAAAAGGCCTGGGAACACTCCAGAGTCCTTTCCTATGAGATTGCTACAGCTGTGTATAAAGGCAGTTTCAGAGTTCTAGTTTTGGGATTTTCTGTGTTTATTTCAGAGTTTTTACTGTGTTCTTGTGGTGCATGCATTCCTCTTTCCTGTGTAATTTCCTATGTGATTTTTTTTTCCCCACTATTTTTCTCACTTTTTCCTTCTCTTCCTCCTGTCTTCCTTGTTTTGCAGATTTGTTTGTATTGGTAGCTATATATTGTCCCAGTGCATTTTAAAAAGTGTTGAAGTGTTGAAAAGAAACCAAAGGAGCCAGAAGAGTGACTGAAGGACTGGCAAAGGTTTCTTACTGAGCTCTTGGAGAGCATTAGTTTTTAAAGCTTTAACTGTAGAGAATGATATTTTAATAGTAAAGGTTGAACAAAAACATAGGACAGGATGCTGGATACTGAGGCTAGACAAATTTATGGTAGAAACAGAATACTTATTTAGTAATGAGGATAGCTTTCCGCTGTAATGACACTCCATTGCAATTTCTGCTCAGTTATTATTCATGGATAACTCTCAAGTCAGGAGAAGTTAATAGTATAGTATAAGAGAATTTAATTTGTGGAAGTCGTAGTGCTTATTATTTCAGTGAGGGTAGATGACCTTAAGGTTCCTTGTGGCCTTGTATGCTAGAAAGCACCTCCCATGGAGTGTGGTAATGTGTTCTAATTGAAAAGTTTTCTTTTTCCTGCCTCTCTAGAAAGACCTATATGTAATCCCTACAATCAGAGGATTTGTAAACTTACTAGATTTTTTCTCAACTGTTTGCTTTCCTATGTCATGCCCATGTTCTTAGACTTGCCAGGTTTGTTGTAAGGCATGTGACATACTTCACGAGTACAAGCCAAATAACTTTTTGTTCAAACTGCCAGTATCATATCTGCTATTAATTAGCACCTATTTCATACTTCTCCAGAAAAAAAAAACTTCCTTTTTAAAAGCTACGGTCTCTGTGTTCCTGACTGTAGGCCATAGACCACAGTCTTCTGGTAGGCTATTATCTGCTCATTCTACAGGTATGACAGAATTTTTCCAGATGAATTATTCTTTTATAATGTATCAAAGCAATGAATTTAGAGATATTGAAGGGCCCTGGAACTTACCTTGTGATGATAAAGTTACTTCATTTATGACTAAATATGATATATTTTTCAATATCACATATGGCACGTCTGAGTCAATTGTTCTTATTAAAGCACAATTAGTGAAGTTTGTGAGTTGTATAACCTTACCAGTATTTCGAGCACTGTGTGAATTTCTGCTATGTCAATTTTAAAGTGGTAAACAAGAGCAAAGAAATTCTGCAAAGAAACTAGTGAATAGTGTAGAAATGGAATTCTGATCCTTTAGAACCAGAGTTTAAAAGCAGTGAGGCAGAGCTCTGCCACAACTTTAATCTTAATGTCAGAAGTAAAGGCCAGGGCTATATTTAGCATATATTTAAGTTGGCTGCTGGAAGAACTAAATATCTTCAGGTCATCTGCGTATGACAGACTGCTAACAGTGCTGCCAGAGCTGTAGTTGTGCTTTTAAGTTCTTACTCATCCTGTGGTCCAGCAATTTGGTTAAGGAACATAAGAGTGAGTCACTGGACTTTCTTTCTTGAGTTTTAAGAGTCTTTACAAAACTTCCTTATTTACATTTTTATAGGGTTTTTTTACGTCATTAGGGAGCATCGTGTTTACTTTGTGACTGGACAAACTGTTGTGCTGCAACAATTAAGCGATGTTGTCAAAAGTGTAATGAAGTCAGATGGTTCTCTTTAATTTGTCCCCTCTCCAGAAAGAAAATTTTGTTTCTTTAAGGCAGTTTAAGTCCATTTCATCGTTAACAGTGAAGTCCCATTTGTAAGTTTCAGCTCCTGGTCATGTTCTATGCATAAAGAACAAGAAACTTGAGGATACCTATGTACTGAATCTAGGCCTATCTGTTTGATGATAAGTGTATGAGAAAGTGCTTACTTTGGTCACAGTTCAATTACTTCACAGACTTTTGCTCTTACCAACCTGTGAGAAGTAGTTATGTTCTCTATCTCAATTTTTGATCTCAAAATAATGCCTCAAAGATTCAAATTCACTAGTAGTTTATCGTACACCTTCTTCATCTTATTAGAATAGATACATTCTGTGAGTCCTTAAACCATATACTATAAGGTCTTGAAGCTTGACTGAGGTACTTCCATAGGAGATTTGTATGTAAATAAAATGCAGTATTTGAAATTCCTCTTCCCCACAGAAATTGCTGATGGGGATTTTTCTGAGAAAATCAGTAGTGTTAGATTCTCAGTGGAACTTGTTTTGCATGTGTTTTCTTATGACCTGCTGTTGAGGAGCCCATATTTGATGATTCATAAGGCACATCTCAGGAAACAAGTTTTGCTTGGGCTTTATTTGAAGTGGGTTAAAATTTGAGGAAAATGAAGTTAAAAGAATTCCTAAGGAATTTTGTTTCCATTAGTCATCTTAATGTTATATTTGCTTTTATAGCATGTAATCAAGCAGCAAGAGAAATGTGACTGATATAGTTTAAAAAAAAAAATCCACAAAACAGTGTTAAATTCCTTCTTTAACTAAATTTATCTATGAATGTTTTGAACTAATCCATGTAGATTTGAGTTTTAAGACGTACACCTCTGAAACCTGAAAATTTTTCTCACACTGGGTTGTTCTTTCGTATATTTTCTGATGATGAGCTGAATGAAATCAGCATTGTTTCAAGCTTTTAGTAGCTCAAAACCAGCTTTTTATATGGAAAGAGCTGCTAGAAATGGTTACCTTTTCTACCAGGTGAAAGCTGTGAAATTGACTATAGCTTTTGTTTTGCCTCCTTTAAGGGGCTTTTCAAAGATACCTCGAGATCTCAGTTTTGTAATATGGATTCCATTAGAAACAGATTGTGATATTTATAAATCAGCTCACGAGGAGATGTATCAAATATCTGCACCATGTGCATGCAGGTGTTTGACAAAGGTCAGTGCTGTAACTCCAAAATAGAGAATCTTCCGGTTGAGCTAGCAGAGATTGTTCATTAGTTAGAACATGAGCAATGCTGCTCGTTTCCTTAGAGGGTTGTGCATTAGTTATGTAACTTTGCAGAACTTAATTATGTATGCAAAATTTTACAGCTTTCATTTACAGTCAAGAATAGCTTAGCTTTGAAGAATTGTTAACTGGTGTGTAGCACTAGCAGTCTGTCTTACTCTTCTCTGATGAAGGAAGTCTCAGCTGCTTATGAAGCAGGTGCTAAACCTCTGTGGCCTAGCATAAGGTAAACCAGCACTCATTTCAATTTTCTTAATGCAGTGTCTTGTAATTTATGGCAGCTTAGCAGCTGCTATATGAGCAGCTGAGCTGTTTTTACAGCAGAAGACAGCTGGGGAGGAGGAATCATGGCAGCCATCCCAATTTTAAGCAAAATAAGAATAAGAGCATTGAAGTGCTCCAAGCCCTGTTTCTGTACATGAAATCTAACTAGTTTGCTAGCAGTCTCTGTAGGCACTTCAGGTATTGATAGTTGCCATCTGTAATTCTGCTGCATGGCATTGCATATCTCTTCAAATCACCTCTGGCTAACAACTGACAGAATTGCTATTCTAGTAACATCCAATTCACCTTTTCTGTGTAGTTAGAAATAATAACTGTCAGATTGAAAAGGTAATATTGTAAAATGTCACTGTAAAGTAAATATCATCTCAAATTGACAGACCTGTTCTTTATACTGATTTATTTTTTAATTAATATGGCAGTTTTGCAGATTTAACATGGAATCAGAGACAAGGTGGATGTGTGTATTGCCATTAATTACACAAGTCAGCTAACAGCTTTGCCAGCAAGTGAACTAGAAACAAATAGGCTATGGCTGCTGTAACCTTGTGACATTAAGAATAAAAATAATTCTTAATTTACAAAAATAAAATTGCCTTCTGTTTCTTTTGCACATTCTTGGCTATACTGTCTCTTCACTCTGTTTTCAAGGGAAACTCCTTGTCCGCTTTTTTGCATATTGAGTAGTTTTCAGGACTTGAAAAACATAGTAAAGCCACTTGTAATGCTGTTCTGTTATAGGGAATATAGACCTATACAAACTCAGCACCAATTAATTGCAGCCATATCACTTTGAATGATGGCTGCACAGTGTGTTAACAATGATAAATGTACGAGTGCTTTATATTTTTGATTCTGTTTGCAGAGTGTGAGACCTACACCACAGAATGAAGCTATAACAGTGCATTTCAAACCAGTTACGTTAAAAGCCTCTGAAAGTAAATATACCAAAGTTGCAAGTATTAGCTTTGATGGTAAGTACTTCACCTCTCTTCTTAAAACTTGTCCAATGCTTCATAACACTTGCTGAAACTTTATGAATTGTTTTCTAAGAAGTCTCTTAATGAACTAATGCTTGGCACTTTGAGGAGGAAGTGGAATTATTTGGAAGGGCCTTATGTTTCTGCTGAGTGCATGTATTTCAGAAGGGTCTTTTCTGAAGTCACAACTAGCCAGTGACTTCACCTGATAACTAATAGTAAGAAGAAAAGGGATTCTTAAAGAATCTTATGTGTGTAAATATAAAAACTGAGCATCAGATTCTGTTGTAAACGTAAGTGGTATTTTGAGTCATTGGTTGAAAAACGTTATTAGCCTACAAAGGTGTTTGCTTTTGGGAAATCCTAGCAAACCAAGGCACGTTCATGGCATTGATGTAAAGTAGACTATATCCCTTGTATACCCTTTGAGCTTTCTGAAGTTTAAAGAAGACTCTAAGATGCTATTTTCCCCCAAAGTGTTTTGTTGGAATACCCGTGAAATAGGGTTCTGTCTGGCACTTGAGAATCTTAATGTGAATGCTAGCTTGTTTTCTTTTATCTTGAATTTATATTATAGAGAAAGGCAGGTAAGAGTGGCAAGGCTTTCACTGTAACCTTTCCTATGAAGATACATTATGTATCCTCATACTGACTTTCATTTATATGTTTATGAAAGAAGTGCTGGTTCATTTCCTTCTTACATAGTGTGACTGTAAATGTTATGCCAACCTTTGATAGAAATGTTACCTCCATTTGTATTAGATTCTTATCAACTCAAGGACTGCTGTTGACCTGTTCAAATCTTACTGCTTTATGATCCTAGCTGGTACTGTAAGCAATCCAAGATGAGAGACTTAAAGATGGAGTCTTACAGATGCAGTGTTTTTAATTTCAGGTAGATATAATTTTAGAATTTGTATGGATAGAGAGGAAAGGATTTTGTTTACTAATTAGCATTTTAGACTTTGAATAGCTTGCAGTTTGTAAGGTGAGTGAGATATGTCTTAGCCCATAAATATTGAATTCTGAAATAGCTGTACTCTGTCAACCTGAGGTAACATGTCCAGATTTTGAAGCTGGAAGGAATTGTTGTATAAGAATGTACAGACTGACATGTGGTAGGTTTTGATGGGATTGATTGGTGGGGAAAAAAAAATTAGTCAAAGTGCATAGGACATTTGAGGGACTGACTTGAATTATTTTTATTTTAGCAGTCTGCCATAAGTATTTGCTCTTACAGCTGTCCTACTACGTGCAGGGAATTTAGAGGCTGGCAGTTTCTACTAACCAGTATTTGAATCCCTTGACTTTTCTGGTCATGTTGCTACCAGGATAACATTGCTAGTTCCGTGACCTTGGAACAGACCTGTGAGTTTTGTTGTTGGCACTTGTCTAGCTTTGGATCTTGCATGGATTCTGATTCTATTTCAGTGTTCTTGGCCCAAAGTTCCCACTTGACTTGTAATTTTAGATGAGGAGCCTAACACTCACAAACTTCTGTTAATGTAGAACAGTACATACTGTAGTGAGGAATTCAGAGGCTTATGCAGCATCTTAATTATCTTCTGGACATGTTTAAATCATTTATTTGACAACTAGGCTTTCCTAGAGTATATAACTTAACCATATCAACTAACTGGCATAAGGGGAGGAACTCAGGTATCTTCTAACCCTTGTTCTATGTCAGTGGTATATTGAAGGTTCAGTAAGATCAATTTTCTTCTTCCACGATACTTGGTCTCTGGTCTAGCTCTGTTTGTACTACTCATGCTAATCTAACCTGATGGGTTTTTGTGTTTGTCTGCTTGAACAAGCTGCTTATATTCTTTTACAGCATCAAAAGCAAAAAAAGCATCACAGTCTTCTGGGAAAATAACTGTTAAAGCAAAAGAGAAAAGCTACTCCAAACTTGAAATTCCCTATCAAGCAGAAGTATTGGATGGGTAAGTGTGCTGTTGAGCAATGTTTGGAGAAAAAAAAAATGCTGAAAATAAGCTGTTGTGGAAGGTAACTCTAGCCTTTTTGGCAAGGGAAGAGGTATAAAGAGGTGGTATCTGTGTTTTCTGAATCAAGCTCACCTAGAACTATAATCACTGGTACAAGTTTTTCTGTTTTTACGCTTATGAGGTAGTCTCAGTGATGCACTGGTTTCAAATCTTGAGTTCAAAGTGACCTGCATGAGTCACTTCTCACTTCACAGATGAGACACTGGAAAAAAATTTCAGTTCTGTCACCCACTATATGAAGCAAAAGTAGAGAAAATATTTCTAGTTTTAAGCAAAATTTTGGAAGACATCATGTCAGCACTTCTTTTTTTTTTTAATTCATTTACAAAATTTGTCTAAGTTGACATTGGATTGTCATTGAAACGTGTTGCCTTATCAACTGAATTGGCAGTGTGTTAAAGGCAATTAAACTAAACATTACCCATCAGAACTCTGCTGCTGCAAACTCCTGATTTGGATAGTAAGGAACGTGCATGATTTACAGGCTATCTTAATATATGGACACTTGGTTTTAGTCCTTGTAGGATGCTGAGTTATGTATTTTCTTACTTCGTTTGCATTACTGAGTAATTGATGTCCTGTAGTATTGTTATTAGCATGCAGTGTGCTGTGCACATTTCCTGCTGATGGATTAAATGAATTCTAGTGCATACACACATACGTGTGTGTATATATATATTTAAAATAAAAACTATAGAAATCTAGTATATGTGTAATATATGATTAGATAAGGAAAGACTTCATTTTTTTTTCATACTGTTTTCTTTTCACAGGTATTTAGGGTTTGATCATGCTGCTACGCTTTTTCACATCCGTGACGGTGCTTCTGATTCTGTGGAAAGACAAATCTATCTAACAAACACATTCAATTTTGCAGTCCTTATACATGATGTTGTGTTACCAGAAGAAGCAAAACCAATGTTTAAAGTAAGCCTCAGTTCAGTGGAATATTTTTACCTAGCAGAAAACGTTTACGCGTGCTGTGCTTCATTAAATTGTAACTTTGATCTTCATTCTTCACTGATCTAGGTCCAGAACTTCAGCAAACCTGTCTTAATTCCACCCAATGAATCCAGATATATATTTACACTTTACTTTATGCCTTCCACATCATCTGTCCATATAGATAACAATATTCTACTTATCACCAATGCTTCTAAATTTCACCTACCCGTTCGAGCATACACAGGATTCTTAGATGTGAGTATTTGTCTTTTTTAGCTATTCCAGTCTACTTGGAGGCAGATTTCATATGACTCTCTTTATTCTGATTCTGTGGGGGCATAGCTTTCTTAATTTCAACAGACGTGCAGATACGGGTAGTGTCACCCACTTCACCAGCTCTTTTCTTAAACAGCTTTTGTTACTGTTGGAAAATTCTTTTTTGCTCCCTTTAGTTATATGCAGAAAACGGATAGAATTTGGAGATTATCTTAGTACTGTTGCACTTATTTATTTGTTAATAAATGTAAAGTTTGAGTGTATTTTGTATTTAATTATGCTAAAATGCCTTTATTAATCTTTCTAGTACTTTGTACTGCCTCCAAAAACTGAGGAACGATTTATAGATTTTGGCATATTGAGTGCAGCAGAAGCTAGCAGCATTTTATTTGCCATCATCAACAGCAATCCAATAGAGGTAAGGATGGATTTATTTTTGGTTTGCCTTTTAAGAATCTTACATCAGTCTTGTTACTGAAATAGTATCTTTTGTTCTTTTTAAGCTGGCTATAAAAAGTTGGCATATTATAGGGGATGGTTTGGCCATAGAACTCCTAACAACTGAAAAGGGAAATAGAACAACAGTAATTGCAAACCACCACAAACTACAAAATGCTGGTGCATCTGATCAGTCTTCAGTAAGTAACCCTTTGAATCTATTGCTTAAAGCTAAGTGTAGGTGGGGGGAAAAAAGACAAATGTGTACTTTTTTTGTAGTTCAATTTTAGCATGGGGGAAGGAGAATAAAAATGAAGAATGATTGTCAAAAGAAATTCTTATTTTTAGTTTTATTGTAAGTAGCAGTACAGCTTTCAAGTTGGGTAGATTTTGAAAGGGGGAGTTCAGAAGCAGTAATCTCCAGGAAATACTTAATCTTAGTTTACTTATGTTTGCATTTTTTACTTCTACTGCTGTCATTTTTTTCAGATAGTTTATTATAGAATCATAGAATGACCTGGCTTGAAAAGAATATTAAGGATCATCCAGTTTCAGCCCCCCTGCTGCTTGCCAACCACTAGACCAAGCTGCCTAGAGCCACATCCAGCTTGGCTTTGAGTGCCTCCAGGGATTTTAAGGAAATACAGACTTGAGTGTATTTCTTTGAGAAATTTATTTTCTGTTTTTAATGGAATACAATTTTGTTTCCTACCGTTCACAGGTGATACTAACATCAGGTTATTATGCTGTGTTTAGAGTAAAACTAATAGCAAAAGAACTTGAAGGAATTCACGATGGAGCTGTGCAAATCACAACAGATTATGAGGTATACTTATTTTATATTCATGTGTATTGTCCAAGCAGAGTGTTTTTTTTTTTTATTTTTTTACTGTGAAATCTGAAGTGGATAGATTGCAGTGTCACAAGGAAGAAGCTAAGGTTGAAGGGGTAGAGGACAAGTTAACACTGCAGTGAGTGGCAGTAATGCTACTTGTGCCGTATCTTCTCTTAGAGGATGAACAATGACTTTCATTGAGCTTTTCATCTGCTTTTCAGAAATTTCTGTTCACGTCTGACCTGATGCTCTGACGTATGAGTTCTTGATGCACCCTTAAAGCATCAGTGCAAAAATCTTTTGGCATGATATGCTCACAGTTTGCTTTTTGGTACATTGTTGGTTATTGAAATTGAGTTATAATTTTGAAATAATTTTTTCAAAATATAACGTTAAAATTGCTTTGGAGAAATTGCGGTTTGCTGACAAATGAAACAGATCTTACACCAAAGTTAGTAAGGGAGAGAACAACCAATTAATTCTCAACTTCATATGCCTTTTCTGTTATAAAATATTTTGCAGAAGAGTGATATAATATATAATGCAATCCATATTTAATATTTTTGTATTACAACTTTCACTTTGAGTGATACATGCAGAAAAAAATATGATGTCTATGAAGTCAGGAAAGTATAAAGCTTGTTGTGTGGTTCTGATGCAGAAAATAGGAAACTCCTAATTTCTGCCAGGTAACTGTGACCTTAAACTTTTTAATATGTCCATATGTTTAAGCGATTCTTCAATTTTACAACTGAATTCTTTTGTTTTCATTTTTTTCCCGTACAAGTTATTGTACTTATATTGTTATAGAGCTAACAATGGTTAGAGCAGCATACACAGTAAGAATTATTGCCATCCCTTCTGCATTCCAAAGTGTACTTTTGTTTCAAGGTCTTATCATGAGTTCTGATGTCTTCTGGGAACTTTGGTATATCCTCTTCCCTATTAGTAATTAATAGTAATCTCAAATATGTTATCTTCCTGCTTTCTAAGAGAGTAAGTCTCTCTCAGATGAGACTTGTATAATGGTCTATTGCAAAGCTTTTATTTTAACTTTGCTGTTGTATTCCATGTAGAAAGAAGCTAATTATGACTGAGCAACGATTTGCTTCCTGGCAATATGGAGTGACTGTAGGAGTATGATGACACATTGAAATCTTAATTCATGGTTGCACATTTTAAATGTGTATGTAAGACATTAATTGGCTACATTAATTGTGGATTTTTTGGATTTTATTAATCTATGCAAATAAAAGCAGAAGAGATGCTTGAAAGCTGAAAGTAACATCTTTTTCCTTAGCTCCCTTGTTAACTCTCTTGTTCTTTCTTTCAGATTTTAACTATACCAGTGAAAGCAGTGATTGCTGTAGGCTCACTGACTTGCTCCCCAAAACATATATTTCTTCCACCTTCTTTTCCGGTAAGATTGTTAGGTCACAGCATTAAACCTTTTTGTGCTGTTTTTTATTCATCTGTTGTGTTCAAGAGAAGCATTTGTCTTAAATTGTTATCTATCAAGTTGCTGGAGAGTTTGGTGTCACTTTTTTCCTCACATGTCCCAAGCATGGTTTATCTTCATTTCTCCTCTATGCCCACTTAAATGGGATCTTCGAATACTGATGTGATCCTGAACGTGATTATTTGCAGGTTCATTCTAATGCAACTTTGTTTATGTAGTCATTACCAATTTGTGCACATTAGCACCAGCTGTAAAGACAAATGTCATTGCATAAATGTGTTTTTTAAATTTCTAGTGTGTAAAACCAAGATGACCAAGTCAGCTAATGAACTAAAGCTTCAGTATAAGAGATTTTTGATCTCTATGAAGCATTACTGTGTTGTTTCTACATTGAAAGTAGATCATCTTTGAGGATATATGGTGGAGTACAAGAACAGGAAAGCAAGAAAGTTGCGGGAGTCTGCAGCCCTCTGTAAAAACAGGCTAAGGTTGTTTTCTTTCCTCCTCCTCCTGCAGTAGTGTTTATTCAGTGATGGCTGAAGGCAGCTTTTTTGCTCAGTTGTGCACCAATCTATTAACTGGATAATGGTTTTTTTTCTTACCTGACATTCAGTATGGCCATGGAAGCATGGGCAGTCAAGGCACACTGACTTTGCAATTGGTATTTCAAGCCTTGAGATTCATGTGACTTTCTGATGAGTATGGAACATAATGCAATGGGAAATCATCAAGAGAGAAACAGTAGACTGAAAGAAAAAAGGATAGGAAAGGATAGATGGAAACAGCAAGATAGAAATACTACTATTTTCTGAAAAGTTAAAGCCATCTTCAATGTATTTTGAAATAGCAGCTCTCCAAAAAGTTGTCCAGTGTCTTTGCTAGTGACTTTGCTAGTGAATACTGTGAAGTTTTGGGAAAATTTTAAGAAATACTTGACTTGAGAGTGTGTCAAGAATAACAAAATAGTGTCCATCCTAGAGATGGGCTTTCTGGATCTGAGTGGTTTGTACATCTAAATTGTCTTTGTAATGCCTTCCAGAAAGCTGTCACTGGTGGGTTGTTTTTTGCAGGTTGGTTTGCCATCAGTGTCTTATAAAAAGCACCTTCCTGAACAGACTGGGCGCATCTATGCTGTACAAATACTTGAAGCAATGCCTGGCTTGATGCTTACTTGGCAGGCATCTCTTGTCACTTATATGACTTGTCTATGTGAAAATATTCTGTTTCATGCTTAGTTTAGCTTAGACAAAATAGTTCAGAGCTGCTTTCTGTGTAACCACTCTGTCACAGTATTGTACTTCATAGCCAAGTTTTTTTTCCAACTTCTCTTATGTGATAAGGGTCTAGATTTCTTCTGGCCACTTTTTTTTTTTTTTTTTTTTTTTAATCTCTTTGGGGCCCTGAGCATTTTTACATTATTTTATTTCTATTTCATTATTACTGTTTGTTTTATCTGATGATGATGACTCTTCCTTCTTCCTGCTAGAAAGTTACTCCAGGACTGTAATTGCAATAGCTGCAAATATTCCTGCATTTTTCAGTCCACAGTTATTCCTTGTAACTTCATAACCATTTATCCCATATGAGCACTGTCCTTGATCTTTATTAAGATTAATTAGCTCCCACCCCTTTTTTTTTAGCACTTGACATTGATGTGGAACAGTGTATGTGCTGTGGCTTGTTGATAGTTAAAACCCAACAAAAAGGTATTTTCTTGTTTTCTCCAGCTTTACATATTGTGTATGTCCCATTCTGTAGTCTTCCATGTGTAGCATTCTCTTTTCTTAGTGAGTAATCACAAATGTACCACGTCATCTGAGTGAAGTTTTACCACATTCGTTAGAGGTCTTAATTATCTTCAGAGAGGATGCCTCAGGTTATGCGTGTTGGTGGAAATGATTTTGTTTCCTTATCTGTCCTGTCTAGTCTTAACGTGTTGTGGATCAATGACCATATACAGACCATCTTCCTCTCTACCTGCTTTGCCTTTTCAAACAGGGAGGCTTAAGCCTTTAAAACAAACTTCTTACTAGATCCTAAATTCACAATCTTAACTTAGCTATTATTGAGTTCAGACTATTTTCCTTACTCAAGGTCCACAGGTCAATCTGTATGCCATATTGATCTTTCTCCGATTCTGAAAGTACCTCTTAACTTTGCAGGATCAAACTTGTCTCTTTTTATACTTTTTGGTACCAAAGCAATGAATATTCTAGGAATATTTATTCCTAGATCAATCTTCAATAAACTATGTACTAATTATTTCGCCCTGATTTTTTTATTTCTTAGAGCACTGTCTGTTCTCTCCTCATCTTGCAGTAGCTGCTTAATATCTTTTGCTGATTTTACAGTTTGTGTATTCTTAAATAGTATTTTTTCACTGGCACTTTTATCGAGTACTTTACCTCATGCCCAGTAGTAGATAAATGACAGTTTTAAAAATAATAATAATAATAATAATGCAATAGGATTCATCAGAGGAGAACAGGCCAGTCAATGGGACTTTAGCAAACCATTGCCACATTTGTCTCATGATCCATTCCATCTCCCTTTTACTCTGCTTCGCAAATTTCTCTGAAGTCTTGTTACTGTCAAGGTCAGATCGTCACTCCTGAAGTTGCATGGTTCATTTGTTATTTTCTGTCTTTAGGATCTGTTTCCTATTTTACTATACAGCTTTACCATTATCAGGATATTTATTGCACTGACTACTTTTAGCTTTTAGCTTCATCCATGTACTGCTCCATAAGTCTTCAATAAACAAAAACTTAATGGTTTGTTTCCTTTTCTTTTGCTTAAATGTGAAGCAATTTATGTTCTGTATCCTAGTTTATATCTTCTATACCCCGTCAAGGTCATCGTCCCTCTTGAATACCTCAATAATACCTCCATTTGTTAAATTTTGGGCCATAATGGAGCAAGTTTTAAAAAATCAACGATTCTTCTGACCAATATCTAAGCTTCTAGGTGCACCTGGATATAGTCCTGTATTCTTCATCACCTTTACTTTATTTTGTTCGGGTTTCGTTTTGTTTTGGAAGATGTTATTTGTTCTTTAGTACCTGCATTTCTCAGCTTCTAAGAGGTAGTATCATTGCTGTCCATTTTCTTTCAACCTGAGACTGCTGTAGCTTTTAGTGGCATCATGTTCTTCTCAGGTAATTTTTTTCAGGGGACTTTTGAGCTACTGAATTTTATTTGGGAGTATGAATTTAGAGAACATTATCACTTTAGACAGAATTCTAGATTGCCTTGTGTTCAAACCTCATTCTTCTTAGAGCAGTTGGCTTTAGCAGCTGCTTCTGTTCGTTGAACACTTACCTCTTTTGATATTTGAGAACACTGAAAGCAGACTGACTTTTCTTTTTTCTTGGTTTACTTTCAAACTAAACTTGTGATTACTGACTTCATGATCTTCTTGCATCTAGTTCAGTAATGCCTCCATAACTTCAGAGAATAAGCCTAAAACAGCATTAGTTCTTCTTGTTCCAGTTTGCAGTAGAGAAATCTGACTGCTATAAAATCCAGGAATAACTAGGCACTACAATTTTAGTAACACTTGTTTTTCATTTCATACCTAGGGTGTAATTCTCCTGCAGCTGCCCAGTTCCCAGTGCTGTCTGTAATTTTAATGTATTTGCACCTAAGTCTCATTGCTGGTATACTGTAAAAATCTGTCTGCAATACACGAATGGTGCATACAGGCCTTCTGATGATCACTGACTTGACATAAGCACCTTTTCTGTGCTGACTTGTACTTGTGTAATTGCACTGTTAGCTTACAGTACCACCTGTCCTAACTTTCTGTCCCAAATGAAGCTTTTCTGAGAAACTATGCTAAATGTCTCTTTAGCAAGTTTTTTAAAAATCTTTTTTTATTAATGCGTGGTAGTCTTATCTGCTCTTCAATATTTTAAAGCTACATAGGGAACTTACTAAAATCCTTTTCATTTGTTCTGCAGAATTTACTGAACCTTCATCTTGCCCAATGGTGAAGGTTGGTTACTCAGCTTTCTGTAGGTGAAGCACACATGGTCATTTCTACTTCCTGTTCAGTTTAACAGTACTGTACTATTTACAGAATTACTCTTGCAGTTTCTTTCCCTCTGCAGTTGGTTCTATTGAGACTGTTTTGCTAAGTGACTGTTTCCCAAGGCTGTAGTTAAATTTTGAGTCTGCAAAGATCATCTCTCCACTTCTGATTTTTTTTTTTTTAAAGGAAGTATTGATTTAAGGGGAACATTAAAACCTCTTTGTTAAAAGATAGTTCTTGGCATTTAAATTTGCCTGCATTTATCTCTTATATAGGTCTGAAATCTTGTCACCAATCCTGTCTAGCCTTTCACTTCTTCTTTTCATTTATTGTTTGCCATATCCTTATCAGGCCTGGCTGTTGAGATAAGGTGAAAGGCATGCCTGCAGAATCATTGCTTTATAAGCAAGACCAAACTGGAGTGAGCTTTAAAAGGGGGTTGGAGGTAAAGGGAGAGCTTTGAGTACTGCAACCTTTCTGGTTGTGACAGTTAAAACTGTACGTTTTCTACCTAAAAGACCAAATGTAAAGGTATGATGGGAGGGAGGGGGAAGCACACTTTTCTTTTTAACTTAGTTTTTTCATCATAATTTTTTCAAGGTAGTTTGATAGCTTGGTGCCTTCATTTCATAGGGAGGGGAAGGGAAGGTTATACTTCTGTATAACATTCTGTAAAATGTTCTCTGTCACCTGGTGTGTTGATAATTTGCAGCTTCACTCAAGTGCTCCTTTAAGATAATTTCTAAACAGTTGTGACTATTTTCTGAATTCGTTACAAAAAGATTGTCTTTTTGTATCTGGACCCTGATAACACCAAGGCTTTCTCTTGCCTTTCCTCCCCTGCCTCTCTTAAAACATCATGTGACTAAACAGAAATGCCCTAGCTCTCCAAAAACCTTAAAGCGTGTTTCTTTTGAAAGAGAGACAAACCATGTTTGGAAACAGAGGAAGAAATCATATTCATGGAAACCTATCCCAAAGTGTTTAAAAAAAAAAAAAAAAAAAAAGACTTTTTTTTTAAGAGAACATTGTTAAAATCTCAGTTTAATATCTCAACTCTGCTGTAGCATTTTTGCCAGTCTGAGTAAGAAAATAAATACATATGCTGGGGAAAATGCATAATAATAAATGCACCATTTTCCACCCTTTTATTTTTCCTAAGGGGAAAGTAGTTCACCAGAGCCTGAACATTATGAACTCCTTCTCTCAGAAAGTGAAAATACAGCACATACGTTCCCTGTCTGAAGATGTAAGGTTTTATTATAAGAGACTGAGAAGTAATAAAGAAGAGCTGGAGTCGGGAAAGAAGTCAAAGGTTCGTTTTTGCCTACTTCTACAAGTTGTCATATTCTTCCCCTTTTGTGTGTTGCATATATGAGTGTGGTCATCAGAAATCTTCCTTCTTTCTTCAGTCATCGAGTTTACTGTGCAATTTCTTATTTGGTCTGCTCTTACTGTTTTGCAGATTGCAAATATTTATTTTGATCCTGGTTTACAATGTGGGGATCACTGTTACGTAGGATTGCCTTTTCTATCTAAATGTAAGTAAATATCTCTTGTTAATGAAAATTACAAATAGTTGTTTTCCCCTTAAGCAGTGATTTTACACATCGGGTTTAAAAATATATTATGTTTTTTAAAGCGGAATCTAAAGTTCAGCACAGCCTAGCAATGCAAGAAGATATGTGGGATTCTGACTGGGATTTGCATGAGAACTTGTTCAAAGCGTGGACAGAAATAAAAGAGAACTCAAGCCATAGGTAAGTGTTCTATGCCTTTTACTTCCTCAGCCAGGAATCACTAGGTAATTCTGTTACATGTGGTATTATAAAATACAGATATATTTTTTAAATAGGTTGGAGTGCTTTTTGAGAGAGAACAAAAAACAGCTAATTGGTGTTCTCTGCAAAAGCTTGAAAGAGAAAATTGAAAAAGTTAAAAATACTGCCACTAAATAACAACTTCTTGTCAATCACAGCCTTAGTAATTACTGTTGACTGGAGTGTACTGCAGTTCGTAAACAGTGGCAAGAGCAAGGACAGTCTCTGTTCTGCAAATCTTTTCTAAAGCAAGTTATATTGTACACAGTATCCCTGTTTAATCTCTTCTAAAGTAGTAAGCTTAACACCCCTCTAGGTTTTCATAAGGTTTTCTGCTGCTATTCTGAATTTATTGTATTTCAGTTAATAATCTAGTTGCCTGATACTTCTCCTTGGGTAATGCTAACTAGTAAGTGATTGATCATTGCTATCTAATATTTGGAGGCTTTTGCATACCTTTTCAAACCCGTTTTCACATACATAAACTGATTAAGCTTCAAGAGATGTTTGCTTTAACAGTAAGTGATGTCTTTTGTGGTGATAGCATGCAGACTGATTTTTAAAAAAATTTGCACATTTACAGAAAGACAAAATAATTGTAAGTAGCTTCATTGTTATAACACTGATTTTTTTTTTTTTTTTTTTTTTAAACAACTCTTGAATAAATTTGTTGTAAACTGAATTTTCTATGAGAATATTCTGTCATCTGCAGTAAGACAGTAGAGGAAAACACCATTAAAAACTACTTCTGACTAAACAGCAGAACTGGGGAATGTCTGATGCTTTTTAAAATCAACTAGCTAGCCAAGATAGCACTTGGCAAAGGAGAACCTGCTCCTTCTGAATAGATTCTGACTTGGATATTTAGATTTAGAGTCTCTCCAAAATACTTCTCCAGGATTTAAGCTTGACGTTTGGTTTGCTTTGCTGACTGGAGAACTCAGTAGCTAGTCATGTTTCAGCTTGTGGAGAGCTCATGGAGTAACCAAGGAATCAAGTCTGTTGTGCAGTTTGGTTAATAACGAAGAACTTCATTCAGTTATGGAAAAAGTAATGTGACCTGATTTCAGATTTCATTTAGGTTTGTTATTGTGAGTATAGGCACATACTCCGTTGTTTCCACATTTTTCTCTGCTGTTTCTCCAAGTCCTGTTGTATCTTATGGTCACCCTATCTTTACAGTCTAATAGAATTTAGAATGGATGAATGGATGTTGATGACAGTGTTTAAGTAGTGAACATCTTTTTGAATTTTTCAGTTGGCCTCCTAGAGCAAGTTTTGGGGGTTTCTGTTGCATTTTCTATTAGTGGCAGATATGGGCAGATCTCCAAGGTGGTGGTGGTGTTTAAATAGACATAATGTGCATCTTCTCAGCTATGCTGTTGATAGTTGTTGCTATACCCTAATGCTGTTTTCAGGGTGCTTCTAAGCACTCTGCATTTTCCAGGATTGTTTTTATCCAGGCTTTTGCCACTTTACTCCTATAAAGTAAGTTTTATAACTATTTTTTACAGGCTGAATGCAATATTTGAAGTGGACACAGATCTTCAGAAGGATGTTCGGTTGACAGTTACTGCAGAAATGGCCTGGCCTTCCATACTTAGCTCCCCACGCCTGTTGAGCTTCCCACTCACCAATACTAACAGTTCATCAGTGAGTTATTTGTTGATAGCCTCAATTTTTGTTTTAATAGCTTCTTCTAGTTACAATTAACCAAATGTAAACTTTGCAAACATTGTGTTTCTGATTAGGAAGAAGAAATTTTTCTTGAAAATCCAGCTGATGTTCCTGTGTATGTTCAGTTCCTTCCTGTAGCCCTGTACTCTAACCCATCCATGTTTGCTGATAAAATGCTAGAACGGTAAGTATTGTTTTGGAGTACATAGGGCATTTTCACTCTCCAGCAAAATGCACTTTACAAAAATTGCACACAGCTTTTTGCTACTTATTGTTGTCCATTTCTAGAACTTGAATCAGCCCAGCTGGGCATTGAATCTAAAGTGGTTTGCGTTGAACATACAACTGAATTTATGCTGAGTTAAAAATGTTTACATTTTCCCCTTAACTTGAAGTAATAAGAAAAAAAAAAAATAAGGAAAGCCAAGTGATTCTGTCAGCTGTGTGTTGTTTGAGTCCTTCCATAAGTTCTTGATTTGTGCTAATGTCTGTAATATGCACAAGTAACTTGTTTTCTTCACGAACGGGGGGAAAAAAGAAATTGTGTGTTTGTTTCAGGTTTAATTTGAGTAAGCCAATGGATTTCAACCTGAGGACTCTAGAATTCCAGGTCTTCAGAAATTGTGTAAGTATTCCATTGTATGCTTTAGATGCAGTTTTAGTGTTCAAGAAGAGTTCAGTCATGCATGTATTAAAAAATATGATACATCTGCTGGATAATCTTAAGAAAGTAGGAAAGTATTTTGAATGTAACAGTTGCATTTTAATTTTCACTATATACTTATGTTAATACAAATGCAGAAGTTGCAGAAAAATTGTATTGACACATTTTTATTCATTCTCTTACTGATACCAGGGATTGCTTTATCAGTGTTGTGGTTTGTAGCTCTAAAGTTAGCAAAGTACTGAATTTTCTATTGCTTTGTTCTTTATTTTATACCTTTTTGTTTCTTATGTTTTGTGTACAGGCTTAATTATGCATGTTTTCAGAGCATGTGACATTCTGATCACTTCCATTTCTCATCCAATATATATGCACTTCTCCTCCATTTACAATTAGTTATAGATTAGCAATCTCATGCTTACATTGCATCTAAAGGGAAACTAGGCAAAATATACTTTTTTCAATAGGCCTTCTATTTTGTCTGGTTTTTTTCCTCCCCTTTTCCTTCTTTACTCTTGAAAACGTATTCTCAAACGTGTTTCTGTAGTGGTAAAATAAATAAATAAATAAAAATGCTGCATAGTGGCTTACTGTTAGGTTAGTGTTAAAAATACACGTTTAAAAACTTCAGAACTCCTTTTTGTGTTAGAGCTTTATGAATCCATGTGTGTGTAGCTTAGCTTTGTGCTGTCATGCTGTTTCTTCTGCTTGTCAGGTGATTGACTTATAGGGAATTTATTGTGCTAGAAGTCTATTTCTGACTAAAACAACTCAACGAAACATGCTGTTAATTTGTTCTTGTGAGAAGCTTTTATAGAATGCAAGCAGTTTTCTACCTGAACGTATGTTCTATGAAAGTATTACTTTGTTTTCCTTGCTCTGTTAAGGTCCAGCCTCTGCAGAGCACTGTCGGACTTACAAAAGGCCTGGCTCGTCATTCAGTTCTAAGCCTAATGTTAAAACCTGGGGAAAGGAAGTCAGTCAAAGTAAAATTCACTCCAGTTCTTAACAAAACTGTTTCATCATTAATTGTTATCAGGTATGGTGGATATTTCTGAAATGGGTTTGAATTTCTGATATGTCTTTATTTACATGTATGGTTATGCTTGCTGTCTGTCAGGAGCTCACTTTTATAAGGGTAATTACAGAATTGTGTGAGAAGAAACCACAATTACTTTTAGGATAAATCTGTTTTACAGTAGTTCAGCTGTATTCAGTACGTATTTACTAATATAAAAATATAATTTGTATATTCAGACTTATTTCCTTAAACACACACTGTACTACTTTGGAGGCAGGGTATCTAGTTGCAGGTACCATTTACAAGATAAAGCTGCTATTTCAATCTCGCTGGTGAAGAACTGTGTTTGCATAAATATTTACTTTTTCTATCATGTGATACTTTAAAATGATGATGAAATATAAACTATAACTAATTCATCCTTATTACTTGCATGCTCTGTTGTGCTTTCTTAGGCTTTAGGCTTGCAAGAATTCTGTTTATGACAACTGACACTACTTCTTTCTGTACTGTGAAGAATTGTCTGGGCTGGGATGTCACTTCATATTCTGTAGAGAAGCTTGCAGGAACAATGAACTGCAAAATCCTTTCATGAATATTTCCAACTATCTCTCTTTTACTTTTTTAATACAGAAATAATTTGACTGTAATAGATGCCATAATGGTACAAGGACAGGGAACAACCGAGAGCTTGAAGGTTGCAGGCAAACCTCCTGGTCTTGGAAGTTCTTTACGCTTTAAAATCACGGAAGCACTATTAAAAGACTGTTCAGAAAGTGAGTACTTTGTGAACTGCTGTGCTGAAGAGAAAATGAAACACGTTCTAAATGTACAACTTAAAACATGTATGTGTGGAAACTTTTTTCCCCTATCCTAGTGTGTCAGAGGTTTTTTCCTTTAAGTATATTAACATTGCTTATTAATTTAGGCAGAAAAATAATATATTTGATCTTTTAAATTTTAATATGAAAGTTAGGAAAACTGGAAAGTTCCTTGTCCAATAGAATTCAAGATGTAAGAGCTGAAAATCTGAGCAGAATATTGGAATTAAGTATAATTCCTGAATGTTAGGAAAAAAGACATCATGGTTTCTATCTGTTTTGTAGTTTTGTGTTCTTTTTTCCCCCTGACACTCAAAATCTGCACATGGCCAGCAGGGAAAAACAAAAAGGGTATGCTCTTTGAAAAGTAAGTGCAGGCAAATTCTGTTCTGGGGTCCGGAGGCTTTCTGCTCCATACCCCTAGGCTTGCTTCTGGGAGAAGGGCCAGATGGTATTTGTATTTCTAAAAGATCTGGCAAAAGCAGCTTAGTTTTTACCTGCTATAAAAATCTGCATTACTAATTAGCAGATTTCCATATGTACTGTATTAATTACTATCTGAGATTTTTTTTCTTTTTTTGAGGAACGAGTACGAAAATTTCAAGTAAGACTTAATCATTACCTCTCTACACATTGTGATTTAGCATTTGGTGAGGTTTTTTTCGCTAATGTAGCTTAACAATCGATTTTACCTTTAAGGTACAAAAAGATAACCTTTCATGCTGCAAGTGCTGGGACTTGTCACTGAATACCTCTACACTAAGCAGTGCATCACAGAACTTACAGCTGAGGTGCTTTTTGTTAGGCAGTAGTGCTGTCAGATTTTGGGCTTTTCATCTCTTTCCCTGAAGAGTTGGAGTGCTCTGGAGCTGTGCAAACATACAACAGTCTGACAGCAGAAACCTGTTCCTGCAGGTTATGCAAGGTTTCTGTGGCCTTGCCAGTTCTTTTTCCTGATGTGAAACTGAAAGAACTCCCTTCTGCTGTAGATGTGCGTAGTGAAGAACATCATTTTAGCACAGCACTAATTACTTTCATCTGTTTTCAGAAATGAAATACAAAGAACCAAATTTCACTCTCAGAAGAACGTTTAAAGTGGAAAACACAGGGCAGCTGCAGATTAACGTGAAAACTATGGAAATCAGTGGCTATACATGTGAAGGATATGGATTTAAAGTAGTTAACTGTCAAGAGTTTGCACTAAGTGTCAATGCCTCTAAAGACATAGTCATACTGTAAGTGGTGTTTTTTTTCTTTTATCTGAATGGAGCTGTACATCAGGAATTTGGTATATGTAATTGTATTTTCAAAGGCAGTGAATACTGGTTGAATTCTGAGGGTTCTTAATTAAGCTTTGAGGGTTTTTTTAATACAGCTTAAAGTATAAAACCTCTCTCTTCTTGCAGGCATTACTTGTTCTTTAAAAAACTTTAAGTCTCTGTGACTGACTGTAGTGTTATATTTGTTACTGTCCAGTAAATGCAATTTAATGAGTTGGAATAATGCTACAACACAGCTTTTTATCCATTTCCTTCATTTGGGTTATGAATGCACATTAGATCTAGATTTACGTATATTTTTGCTGCATTGCAGTACATGCTGAAAAGCCCTTGATGTAAGGATTAAAATTGTAAAGCACAGCATTTCAGTCTTGAATATTTTGCCTGTTGCTTTAATGACAACAGTAGGTTAATTCTGCTCATTTTTATTGTAAAAGATCTCTGCACCAAAGATTATTCTCTGACTCTGCTTGGTTTAAACTCAGGTATTTGGAATACAGTATCTAAACAGTTCAGAAGATGCTACTGTTATGCAAGAGGTTGTCCAAGATACTGCAGGCAGTGAAACTTCACTAGCATTGTTGCAATGATCTCAGTTTGTGATGAGACAAATGTAGTGGTGTTTTCAAAAAGCATGGCATTTTCATTTAAATGTAGCTCACTTAAATGATCAGTTTCATTGCTTAGGTATAGCTGCTGTTGGGTTTTGTGTGTGTGTGTCTGTATGTGTATATATACATGCTTTACTTTGTTTTCAGGTTTACACCAGATTTCACTGCTTCCAGAGTAATTCGTGAATTAAAACTCATCACAGCAGGAGGCTCTGAATTCATATTTATCTTGAATGCATCCCTTCCATATCATATGCTAGCAACATGTGCAGAAGCGTTGCCCAGGCCCAACTGGGAATTGGCACTGTACATCCTTACCTCAGGAATAATGAGGTAATGTGTATTTCTTTTCTTATCAGTATATATGTGTAAGGTACCTTTACTTAAATATAGATTATAGAAAAAAGGCATGTGTATTCAATACATGCTATGTTTAGAGTAGTATGTGATGTGGCAAAAGGAGAACAATTAATAAAAGCTGTCAGGGATTTAATGTGAACAGCTTTAGGCTGAGGAGTACTGACTTTCTGCTTTAAATGAGAACAGAATATGTTTATCGCTTGGGGCTGTTAGGCAAGATCCTGTTAGCTGTGATAATATGTGGATTTTTGACAACTGATTAAGCCAGACTTGAATCGAATTAGGTATTTGAGCACTGTTAGCAGTGAATTCCTGTAGAGGTTGAAGCATCCTTCTGCAGTGCTGTGCTTTAGAAAGATATCAGGCAGTGACTCAATGAGCTTAGCAGGTGCCTTAGATGAATTTAACTTGCTGCCACTTGTATGCGGCAGACAACTGGTGATACTAATAATGGAATTTCTGAGAACCTGAAGGGCATTGTCTGCTACGCTGAGCACTCTGAGGTTATGTAGGAGTATACTGGTGCTGGTTTTTTCCCTCAAAGTGACTGGTTGAAATTTGAGTTGAAAGTTCCATTGTGTTTTCCTAGTCTAACCTAGGTATAGATCTATCTGTATTTTTTGAAACCTGAGATTATAAGCAGTGCTTCCCTGCTCATTTCCTTGGATGTAAGATGCTTTTCCCCACTACATTTATCTTGAGAAAACAATAGGGTAGAAACTTAATCAGTAACGACGGGTGTTTTACTTTTGGTGGTGGCCTGAAGCCTGTATTGGAGGGCGAGATGGATTGCTGCTGTTGATGTCTGTTATGGAAAAATGGTCTTTCTCTGTGCTGCAAATCTGGAGCATCATCCCACTACATTAGTAGCAAGTGAAGCCTTGCATCTTTTTTTCATGTTTAGATGCTAACTTGTTGATTTTGCTGTACTGCATTGCGTAAGTATTTAGTTAGGCTGTCTTTCCTTGTTTAGGGATTGATAAAAGAAATAGAGAAGTGTGCTTCTTTTTCTTTGGTTCCATGGGACTTCGACATGAACGCAATATTTTGATCTTATTTTGTGTTTCTTCTATATATCTGCTAGAAATGCACAAACTTAATTTCTGCTCTGTCTGTTGGCAGAGTGAATAACATTTCTCAGCTCATGTGTAGTTTGCCTGGGTAACTTTATGTGTACTGTATTTGTTAATCAGACTTCACAAAATCAAATGCTAATCCTTTCACTTTTTTTCCTACAAGTTGAAAACACTCCTCAGCAGCAAATTAGAGGAGTCCTAATGTGACCACCTCATACTCCAAGGAACAGGCACACATCCTCTATCTTTCAGCATATGCTAATATGGAGTTTTGCTTGTTGCCACCAACACACTTCTGTATAGTCACAAAGTAATCCCTAGTTTGTGTGGACAAACATAGAGTGGACCAGCACTGTTCCTACCACCACCCCACCAAGATAAGAAAGAGCATTTTATTTAAAAAAAAAAAAAAGAGATTTATTCTGTGGTTTTGTCATGCTTGTTTACTTTTTAATTTCAAAGCTGATACTCATTTATCAAAACAACAAAGTTTGCTTTGGTAAAAGCAGTACGGTTCTTCTCCTGAGGGTGGCAAAGGAGAAGCCCTTGAGGTGACTGACCATTTGTTGCACTCACTCCTGTGTCACACCTGTGGCACCAAAGCTCTGTGCCCTATCTCAAGTTTGTATAGTGCTGTAGAGATGCAGTAATCGTGTTGGTATCAGCGTTATGATATTTTCAGATACTGCTAATGTAATTCCTAGTGCTGATGGTGACACCTCATTCTTCTCATCCCCAAAGTAGCTGTATATCTGCGGGCATAGTGTCCAAGGCAGGTGGTGTTCTCTTGGCTAGGAGTTTGTGTAAGCTTGTTCTGTTTCTTTAATTTTTCTGTTGCTTGTTAGTACCTCAGATGAAATTTATTTTGCCTGCACTCTGCTGTATGGTTATGTATCTGCTATCCATTTTAATCCCTGGGATGGGAAAAGCTACTGATAAGCAGCTAAAATCAGCTGGGTTGATCTCCAGAGCTGCTTGAATTTTTGCTGGCAGTTAAAACATAAAAGATGATATCTATATCAAATTCTTCTAGACAGCTCGAATTCATCAAGTATCTTGTCACTTTCTGTGAATAGATGTCCTTTTTCATAACATTTGGCTTACAAAAACCACCGGTTGGATCTGGGAGGAAAACAGAAGCTGAAGTTGCTAATGCAAAGTTAATTTTGCACAAATATTCTAGGGTAATAGGCAAGGCAGTCTTTAGTCATCAGTGCTGTCTCCTCCCCCTTGAAATTTCCTACCATTAGAAGATGAGATCTGTAGCGCTGTGCTGAATGTCTCTGCAGTGATTTAATTGCTTCATCAGAAATACAGTTCACTGCAGTGCGTTATGTAAGTGAAGAGCTCCTAAACACCACTGCAGATGCAATTGTAAAACTTGAAATAGCGCTCCTTCATTTTAGTTCTCTGAACTGCAGCACAATTTGCTGTGGAGGATCTTTGCTTTTCATGTGGAATTGTACCAAATCCATGAGAGCTGGTGACCTTCTGGATGCCATTTTAGTATTTCAGTTCAATCTTAAATTTTTCATTTGGATTGAAATGGGGGACTTAGGGCCAGACCTACATCTCAACTTTGCTCTTCAGTTTTATTGCTGCGTATGTTATGTTAGATCTAGGTATTTTATGTTTGTTAGACAGAAATGTGAGTTGGATGCAGTTTTCAGCTTTTCTGCATAAGATAGGAACTTTTTGTCATGCTTGATTAAATTCGTAAGCCTTAAAATGCTCAAAATGTAGCAATACTTAACTGAGTGCCTCTCTTCTGTGCAGTGTACTCTTTCTCCTAGTAATCGGAACAGCCTATCTAGAAGCTCAAGGAATCTGGGAGCCATTTAGAAGACGCTTGTCTTTCGAGGCCTCAGGCCCACCCTTCGATATGGGAAGGCCACTTGATCTCAGGAGAATAGTTGGAATTTCGTCTGATGGAAAGTATGTATGGGTTTGGGTTTGTTTTCCTCTCCCTTCCCCCCCCCCTTTTAGTTATAAGACCAGTTAGAAAGAAACAGACTCTTTAGAACAGGTGAATGAATAGAGATTCTTCCATGGATTGAGAGATAATGGGCTACAAAAAACAGGTTTTGTGGTTGTGAAGAATATTCTGTCAAAACAAATCCTGCTTGGTTTTCTGTTAACGCTCTAGAAGGTAAAGTATAGACTGCAGAAAAATAGCAGGCCAAAAGTTTTCCCTTTGGTCTTAAGTTAAAAAATAAACAAGACTTCTCTTTTCCCCTCAACATACACGTTGACTGTCATTTTAACCATTTTTGCTTATGTGTACAGTGAGCAAGTGAACAGGGAATGGTAAAAGCTTGTCAAAGAAGTTTTAGGCATTTTTGTTGTTTACATGCCAAGAAAAGTATAATTAAAAGTTTCTTTTGGACATAGTGATTCTTTTTATTCATGGAGAAGAACTAAAACATTGTGAAGTACATTTAAACACTTCTTGTTCTTCCAGCTTGAACGCGCTTGGATCAGATTCTAATCATGGTCCTTCCAGAGGGATCTATGGAGCAGGCAGTTCGTCTTCACGATCCAGTGCAGGGAATCATAAACAATGCAGTGCAACAGCACACCTTCACAGCAATAGAAATGCACCTGATGTTGAAAACATCAAATCCAAAAACAGTTCAAACATGCCTAGTAATAGGACTTCAACACAAGCAACTTCCGTGCAGTCAGTGAACAGAGCAGGCCCCTTTACCTTGGATTCAGGTGCCACAGCTCAGACGCATGCCGCAAGCAAAAGAGCCAAGGGCACAAGGCAGAACCAGCAGCCAACACAGCAGCAGACGACGGCTTTGGCAGAGCAGCCCCTCCAGCAACCCCCAGGATCTGGGTCCCAGCAGCAAGAGCAACAGACTGAAAGCGCTTTGCCACAGCTACCGCTTCTCAGCCCGCCTCATGCCGAGTGTGCCAGCAGCAGGAGGCACAGCTCAGAGGATTCAGATCTCACTGGACTCATAGAAACTATGGAAAAAGACTTTGACCACCCAGAAGCCCCTTCCCCAGATGTGTTTACAGAGCAACCCCCATCTCCACTAGCAAAAAACAAAGGTAATAAGATTCTGCTTTTTTTTTTTTTTAAAAAAAAAAAAAAAGGATGATTCATTATGTAAGCCACAGAAGAAGATCTAATCAGCTGTAAAGGTCATGTTTTCATAGCATGGAAGGTGGTAGCTTCTCAGCTGTTCCCTACTCTTCTGTATCTGCCTGCATCTTGAATGCATTCTTTGTTTTATAGCAGCGAAATTTCCTGCAGTGCTCAGTTATGATTCTTCCTGCAAAAGCTTTGGAACATTTTGGTGAAAGCAAATCTCTGGATATTTAGACTTCTTACTTTCCAAAGAATTATTTTGATTGCAACTCTTTTGCCTTTGGATTAACATCATTCACTCTTCACAAGTCTTTTGGACTTGGAGCTGGGGGCCGAGGAAGGGAAGTTGTCCTAGTATGTAACGAAATCTGAGAGGGGAAGAAGGGGCAAAACAGATGGGGTAAAGGAAAATCCCTGTGGTATTGGTAAACCACTGTGGTATTGTTTCGGAATGGAATTCTTCATACCTATGCTTGCAGTTATTTTAGAAAATACCTGATGTCAGGTGGTCAGCAAATTAGTATAAGTTATCTTCATCTTTGTGTGAGGTTGGAGTTGAGTTTGAATTTCTTATGCATCTTTTCATTTGATTAATGCTTTAAATGAGTTTCACACATTAGATACATTCATTATGTCATTTATTTCCATTAGCATAAACTCCTTTTGGAGTAGAACTTGCTGATGATACAAAGCTGGGAGGATTGGCTGACGCACCTGAAGGCTGTGCTGCCATTCAATGAGACCTGGACAGGCTGCAGAGTTGGGCAGAGAGGAATCTGATGAGGTTTGGCAAAGTCAAGTGCAGAGCCTTGCACCTGGGGAGGAATAGCTGCATGTAGCAGTACAGGTTAGGCACTGACCTGCTGGAAAGGAGCTCCCTAGAGAAGGACCTGGGTGTCCTGGTGGGCAGTAGGTTGGCCATGAGCCAGCAATGTGTCCTTGTGGCCAAGGTCAGTGATATCCTGGGTGCATTACAAAGAACGTGGTCAACAGGTTGGGGGAAGCAATCCTTCTCCTTTGCTCTCCCCTAGTGAGGCCACATCTGAAGTACTGTGTCCTGTTCTGGGCTCCTCAGTTCAAGAAAGACAGGGAACTTCTAGAGAATCCAGTGGAAGGCTGCAAAGAAGATGAGGGGCCTGGAGCATGTCCTTTGTGAGGAAAGGCTGAGAGACCTGGGGCTGTTCAGCCTGGAGAAGAGAAGACTGAGAGGGGATCTTATCAACTCTCACAGATACCTAATGGGCAGGTGTCGAGAGGATGGCATTGGGTTCTTTCCAGTGATGCTGGACAACAGGACAGGAGGCAATGAGCACAAACTGGACTATAAAAGTTCCATGTGAACGTGAGGAAAAAATTCTTTTCTGTAAGGGTGACAGAGCACTGGAACAGTCTGCCCAGAGAGGAGTCTCCTTTTTTGGAGATATTCAAGACCCACTTCTGCCTTTCCTGTGTGATTTGCTGTAGGGAACCTACTGTAGCAGTGGTTGGACTTGAACTTCAGAAGTCCCTTCCAATGTCAATGATGCTGTGAGTCTGGGAGCTTCTTACCATGCTTTTTGTATTCACAACCTCAGTTACATCCTACTTTTGTTGTTAAGAATTTAATCTTGATGTGTTTATTTCTAAATGAATTTTCATTTTCCCCTGTGATGTTGTACAGAAACAGTACTGATAGGGATTTGTTTATTAGAGATGAAGTTAAGAAAAAGGTGGAAGGTAAGCAAATCATGAAACATCTGCATGATCATATAAAACAACAGAATTTCACAGTATTTAGTAATGAGCAGTAAAGTCTTAAATACTTGAGAATGGATGTGTAGTTGCATTTGGGCTTTGAAATGGGAGACTGAAGCCCCTAGTTTTGGGGATCCTGCTAAAACTTGCTACTTGCTCAAAAGGTCAGCAAATCAAGTAAAACTTGCCCATTTTCATTCACACTCTTTAAAACGTAAACCTTAAGAGGAAGTTCCGTTATCTATCCAGATCTGCACATGCACACTGATCTTTGTCTTTATAAACAGCTAGAGCTCTTTGCAGACACTTGCAAGAACAGTAGCTTCTGAATTAAAATTCTATGTCAGAATGTCTTCTGCCGGATCTCAGCTCTTAGTCTTCTTGTTTTGTGTTCTTAAAGCTTAGTTCTTAGCAGAGTACTGCAGAGGCTACATTAGAGCTGTGTTGAACAGCTGCTTTGAGTTATATTTGTGTTTTAGGACAGCATGTTAAAGTCTTTTACAGTGGGGATCGTGAGGTGCTGGCACAGGCTGCCCACAGAGGTGGTGGATGGTGTCCCTGGAGACATCCAAGGTCAAGCTAGATGGGACTCTGAGCAGGTTGATCTACCTGTAGGTGTCCCTGTTCATTGCAGGGGAGTTGGACTAGATGGCCTTTAAAGGTCTCTTCCACCACTAAGGATTCTATGATTTTAGAGAAAATTTTCTAACAGTGAGCATTAAGCTGTTCAGCAGTTCTGAATGTAGACTAAAGGTGGTGTGAATATTGGCATGAGGCTTTCTGAGGCAAAAATAGAATGCCCCAATAAGCATGAGGCTGACCCCTAGAAAATTTATGTACAGAGCTACTTGTTTATGCTTGCGTTTGCATTCACGTTAAAAACAATCTGCAGTGTTTTTCTAATTGTTACTGAAAACATCTGAAAGAAGCAAAATGTGAAGATGCTGCCCTTCGATGCGTATCTGCTATTTACCAAAATACTGGAGTCAAATGTGTGTTTTGGTACAAACTTTCCCTGAGGCACAAATTATCAAATTAAACAGGACAGCCATCGTTGTTTTTCTACCAAAATGAATTCTGATGTGAGCTGGTACAAATCCCGGTTTTTGATTTCACTTACTCAACACAGTTTAGCTTTGAGCATACAAAATCCATTCTGGAAGCAAGAGGGCAGGCACTGTGTGGTGTGTTAAGGAAGGTACTTAGTCTGAGTCATAGTATCTCAGGAAGACTTTCTGATAAAGCATGTCTACCAAAAGGCACAATCAGAGTACTTGGGAATGCATTTATCTTGTACAACGCAGCAAGAGGCAGTGGTGAGATGATGTTGACTCCACGTGTGCACGCAGCTTCTCTGTATTAATACTTTTCTCAATAACTGTTATTTTCCCCAGGTTTCTGCTTTATAGTCTTCTATTTTGCAAGCCCAGGACCTCTGGCTTTGTTTTGAAGGTTCTTAAGCCTCTGCATTTTGAGTTCATTCTCTGCTCCATTTGTTAGCCTGTAGAAAACGTAAGAAAAACATGACTGATTGACTAGCACTATTTATTGGTATGTGGATTGCTTCAAGAAAGGTGATTAAACAATCCCTGGAGTGTTCAGTGCATGATTTTCGTACGTTGAGATGCAGTAACACTTAAGTATGTCAAGCTAAATAATTTTAGTCAGCTTAGCCATGGCTCTTAATATACAGTGTACTTTGAAAAAGTAAAATATGTTGAGGAAAGTTGCTATATTTGGGTGTGAGATTTCTAGAGAGAGATATGCACACATCATTGCCAAACTAACCGTAGTATAGTGATTTTTCTCATCTGCTCTAGTCTTATTCTTAGCCTTTGCTTTGTGTTTGAACTGGGAAGGATGCTAAGTCTTTCAGTTCTTCCTCTGTTAGAATGATAAAGCTTGTTCCAATTTCTGAAGTCCATGTGTAAATGTACTGTTATGTGGTGGCACAGTCAATTTGAATTATAAGGTGATCAAAAGAAACACCAGGAATGCAGCAGAGAAGCACTCTGTGCAACCAGGTACCCACGTCTGCAGAGAGGCAATGGAATTAGGCCTTAGGAGCACAGCAGGCAAACTGCAGAGGTTTTATCATGTGGGTTAGCCTCTCAAATGAAGTGAACGAGCCTGTCACAGAGCACTGCTGATGGGAATCTGAAATGTTCTTATCTCCTCAGGGAAAGGGAAGGCACTTCAGCGAAAGGTGAAGCCACAAAAGAAACGGGAAGAAAAGGACAGAAGAGGAAAAGGGAAGCAACAGGAAGATGAACTGAAGGATTCCTTGGCAGATGATGACAGTTCTTCAACCACAACTGAAACCTCTAACCCAGATACAGAACCACTTCTCAAAGAGGTACAGCATTGCTAATAAAAGGAGGCTCTGTGGTGGATCGCGTGTTAGAGGAGCATGACACTTAGGAATGGGGTCTCTTTTTCCCCTACTTTCATATCCTGCAGTAGCTAGCAGTGGAACAAGGTTAATTATAAAAATCCCCTTTCCTTGCTTTCACTACTGTGTTTCCTCTTTTACAAAAGAGCAGTGTCAGCATGCTTGAATCATGTCCTCTCAGGACTGAAAGTGTTTCAGTGACTGTGGTTGGAACGAGCTATCAGTTGTCAGCAGAACTGTAGTAGTAGTCTCTGTGTGTGCTCCTAGCCTGTTCTGTCTGCTGAAGAAAACACATACATATTTGATCAATACAGAAGTCCTATTATAATGTCTTTTATAGGAACCTGAAAAACAAAAGGGAAAAGTTACACAGGAAAAACCGGAAAATGAAATGGTGCAAATAAAACAGAAAAGTAAAAAACTGCTAACAAGTATCAAGAAAGAAATCCCTGTAGATGTGAAAAGCAGGTAAGCATGACAAAGCAGGAAGATGGATCAATAACCATCCGTTTATTCTACTGTTTATGGCTGCCAGACTGGATAATGACAGCAGCACATATAGCTCCAGGCAGCTTCTGCTTCCTTTGTGGTATCAGGAACATCTGAGCTTGTAAATGATTATTTGATGCACGGTCAATTAATAATATGAGAACTAAATCCAGGGAAGAAAATGGGGTTAAGCAATGGCAAGTTCTTTTGTAATAACAGATACAAAATAGAGTAAACATTTCTACAGGAGTTACTGTGCAGTGGCAGCACTGTAACATGAGTACCTTTAGTTGTGGTAAAGTTACAGCTATCAGTGTCTTGGATATGTTGTTAAAGGAGATGTTTGCTGCCAATGCCATTCCCTTCCTGACAGATTGCAGATGGTGGAGAAGGGAAAAATAAAGAACCTCAGCCTTTCTATAGACAGTCTATTTTGAGATCTGATTCTGCAGTTCTAAAACAAAATGAGTATTGGATAGCCATAAAATAAATTTGCTAGTCTGAGGCGTGATATGTTGGATTGTCTTTTGGCCTGTTGCTGTAGTTAATAGTAGACTGAGATTTAGACTGAGTAGTTGGTATGTATATGCATTCATTTTCTTCAAAATATTTCTTAAAATATTGCCAGACAATGTCCCCTTCTATTTTTTCTTCTTACTATTATACATTTTCCTCCATCTTCTAAATCACGTGGTGATGATATGTGACAGTATTCAGAGGCCCAAACTGAGTTGGAATTCTTCTCCAGGACATGAATACAACAGTTTTCCTTAGAAAATGTACGGCATCTGGGACAAAATCAAACAGCTGGGGAAAAGGAACAATATATAGCCAAATAAATTTGATGGGTTGGAATAGTTCTGTGATCAGTCATCTTGTGCATTCATGGCAGTTGCGTATCAGGAGCATGCGATTGGCAGCAGAGAGGAAAAACTGCAATTGCCATCTCCTGGTTATCACTGTGTTATTGAGCAGGCTTTCTAGTCCTGGAAAGCGAGTGAGCTGGAATGCCCTTGTGGGAAGGAGATGAGCTAAAGTTAGGACGGGTGAAAGGGTAGAGTTGTATGTAGGAGAAATAGAAGAGATGACAGAAAAACTGTGCTTATGAATCACTTTGAAAGTGAGCATAATAGGAGGAATCCACAGGAGAGCAGTCCTTTGTAGAGCCTGTATGGTAAATGTATATTGTATGTCCTGCAGCACTTCTGAAAGCAAAAAAAAAAAAAAAGGATTCTCTTGTTTTCATTTAGTTCCTTGGAATTACCTTATACTCCCCCACTGGAAAACAAGCAGCGCAAAACCTTTCCATCCAAGGTATCCACACAGCACCTCTTGACGAATGTGTCCAAATCAAGAAACCTTCCAAAAACAAGAGGTATTGTGAGGCTATTTTCACGTATCACAAATATCTTGGGACTTTCAATCTGCTTGCTTTTGAAAGCTTAATCTGAAGCTTAATGTTAAGAAAGCTACGTGCTTTATTATCCACTGATTATTTTTTTTCTTTTTTCTTTTTTGTTAATAGGTCCAAACAAGTTAATAGAGAGCAGGCCATCAGTATTATCAAAGTTTCTCCCCAGTAGTTCTGGACAGGAGCTAGGAAACACCAGCAGCTCGGAAGGCGAAAAGGATTCTCCTCCACCAGAGTGGGACTCTGTGCCACTTCACAAAGCTGGCAGCTGTGAGTAATCGCTGGAGGATGACAGAATTAGTCTCCTGCAATGCATATCTGTAGGCAGGCTTGATCTGTTTTTAGCCTAGCTTTTATTCCCTGCATATCTATGCTCCCATTTTCTGCAGTAAGCCTAATATTGATAGCATCCGGTACAATTTGGAAGATTTGAACACCACATGGGCAGAATGTCGCTCATTCCACAGTTTTTCAGAAACTGCTGAGGAATTGAGAATTACTGCTTGAAAACAAAATATATTTTCTACAGCAAATTGAGTTTTTCTTCCTCATTTTTCTGCAACCAAAGTTGAAATTAAGTGATCCCTTCTCGAGAGGAAACACTGAAAGCTTCTTATTGCAATGGTTAGGGTGGTGCACTATTACAAGTTTTTTGGTTGTATTTTAAGGCTTTGGTGAGAAACAAGTCATTTTCCTCTTGTTTGCGTGTGATCATAAAGTCAGCCCTCCCTGCAGCTCTTGCTTAGGCTAGAAGTTCCATTCTTTTTCTTCCATAGAAACCAGTTCACGCTTTCATCAAAATAGTCTCACAGTAGTCAGTAAACCTGAATAGTAGTAGGAGAAAATAAGGAAGGAGTAGATCTACTACTATAGGAGCTGCTACTTCAATGACTGGGAACAGTCTTTGAAATAATTCTTGAAATTGAATTTATAGCTGAGTTTGAGTAGCCATCATCTTAATGTAATACTACATGAGAGTCTTTTGTGCTTCTTTATATAGCTACAGACAACCTTTATAAACTCTCTCTGCAAACCATGAATGCAGATGCTTTCCTGAAACAGCGACAGCCCTCACCTACACCTGCCTCTCCATCTCCTCCTCCTCCTCCTCCTGCATCCTTAGCTTTTGGGCCACGAGGAGGCACCTACAGCAGCATTGTGAACAGCAGCTGCAGCAAGTGAGTTTGGATCTGCTCCTCCTATTAATTTTACAAGCAGAGAATGCTTGAGGAACCACTGTGCTTGATATTGGTGTATCTCTCTTCTTGTACCCATTTCCTCTTCCTCTGGAAACTGCTTTTTTGCAGATATTACTGTGCACGTTGTAGAGTGCTATTTATGTTTTAGGGGAGTTTGTTACAACTTGCTAGATTACAGAAATGTGCACCAACATAAACTGTTGAACTACTGCTGGTGTTTTTATGAATACGGGATTGAATTATTGCTTGTTTATCAAAGTACTGAAGTCTAAAACCACAAACTTTTTTTCCCCACTTTTTTCCTCCCCTTTAAGTGAAACAAAAAGCAAGCAGCCCAGTGGTACCAAACACAAGCTGGCAAAGGCAGCTTCTCTTCCAGGAAGGAACGGAAACCCCACTTTTGCTGCTGTTGCTGCAGGTTATGACAAGAGCCCAGGTACTGTACCAGCCTGGCATAATAAATACCTCTGCATATTTCCAGAATATTCACTCTGTTTGGTTAGTTGGTTTACTTCTGTGTCTCATTTTAGATTTATTGTTGCAGGTGGCAGTGGCTTACCAAAGGTTCCCCCAACAAAGACAGAAGTTTCCAACAATATCAGCGTTTCCCACACAGTTGTTGACAGTGATGGCTCTGACAGGTAAGTGTTTATACCTCTTGGAAATACCTGAGCTCTTAGAGAAGAGCCTGTAAAGAAATAGTGGCATTTTGAAGGCAGTGAATGGAGTTCATTCTGGTTCTGTTTATGAGTTCTGAATGTTTATTTTTTGTGAATCTCTCAAAAGGGGAGAGAGACATTCTGGATATGATGGGGACTTCCACTCTCATTCCCAGTAACTTGACAATTTTGTGTCCCCTGGGCATCCAAAGAAGGACACCTCAGCTTGGCTCTCTGATTATTTAGGAATGGGTACCAAGGTGACTCAAAATAATTCACAGGCAGGATTTTGCACTGTACAGTAATATCTGTTACTCTCTTTTAACTCTGAAACTAGGACAATAACAGGACTTTGTGTTCTGAGTAGAAGCAGAGTATAGCCATGCTTAGTTGTATTCCTCATTGCAATGGGGATTTCTGATCTTTTCCAATCACGCTGCCTTAGATTTAGATGTTAGATTTTTGGCTGTGTGTGTCTCTCAAGAGTGCTGTCTGGTAGCTTTTCTAAACTAGGAATGAGACTTGAAATCGAGTTTCAATGTACAGAGGAATTGCTTTTCTGTGCAAGATTTGTGGGTCAGTTCTTGGTTTGTTTATGTAAATATTTATCACCAGTTCCAGTTAACCCATCTGTATTTTCAAGAAACTTATCCACAAGTAGAATGTGAGCATTCGTATCCCTTTTCAGCAGTTCTAAGCTTGCTCTCCTTGTCAAAAAGTTGTGCTGCATTCTGGAGCCTGCAATTCTTCTGAAAAACAGAGCTGCTCTTTGTTGGAGCTCAGCATACAGACCAAGAGCACTGTGTCTAGTGCAGTGTTCTATGTATAAGATAATGGTGTTTCCCTGTAATCATTTTTTAAAACAAAAATAAGCTTATTTACCAAGTCTTGGGCACCATTTTTGTACATATGGATAATGCGTGTGCATGTGTGCATGCACATTTGTACATATTTCTGTTTGGACCAGCACAATGTTACTGTTGGTGAGACTCTGTTAATGCATATTTCTTTCCCATTACTCCTTACTATTCAGTTCGGGTTTGTGGAGTCCTATCAGCAACCCCAGCAGTCCTGACTTCACACCTCTCAATTCATTCTCTGCATTTGGACATTCTTTTAACTTAACTGGAGGTGAGTGTATTTTTTCAAATATTTTCAGTATTTAAATACAGGTAAAGAAATGGTATATTTCCATTCCACTGTTCTAAGTACAGGCTCTGCTCCCACACCCATCCCCCAAAGTGATTACTGTATAGGAAAGCATTTTATCATTTGGTGGTGTACTCTGTGTTTCAGCCCAGAGAGTTGGTGGAAAGTCTTAGATGTTGTTTTGCTGGAAACAACTGGTTTAGAAGTTTCTTGGTTTCAGAAGAATGTCTTTATATTTCTTTTCTCACTGTCTGTTCTCACTATTTTCCTCCCCTTCATCGTTCCCCTGAAGCTTCACAGTAGGTCTCAGAAGTGTGCTATGAAACCTGTGGTTTCCTGAACACCTCACGCTTGCATAAACCCATTGCTATGTATGTGATGCAACGGCCCATCCTTCATGTTGCTTTCCTCTCGTGTTTTCCTCTAGCGTTTGTGTAGCTGTATAATGAACTGATGCATGTTAACCATCCATTAATTGCTATATTTAGATAGGTAAGCTTTCTGTAAGTGCCTATTGAGATGAGGCCTCGATGCAGGCAGGTTATATTGTGGGGCACAACTGCTCTACATACTTGAGGTAGATTTGCATACTATGTTTGGGGGTGCATGGTATTTTTTTAAGGTGTGTGCAAAAGATCAGTAAGCAAAACAAGCTTCATACGGCATCTGCATGTCATTGGATTGGGTCTCTACTGAAAAATGTCTGGGGTCTGCTTTCAATTCATCTGCAACACTTGGCTCCAGTGACTCTGAGGGATGGCAGTAAGGTGCTTGGGATCAATTCTGTGTGCAGGCACCATTTGAACCATGAGCACTGGTGCTGTCTTTCCTTCTCTTAGTTGAGACAGGGCCAGCCTGCCTCAGCTGGGCACAGTTGGTGCCACATCCCATGTCAGGAGTCACCTGGGAAGGGAGTGCTGCACTTCTGAGAGTCTGTTTCAGCGCAGTCAGCTCCTCCAGCCACATTGAACTTGCTGAACTAGCAGGATTTGCAGTATTGCTGTGTTTCTACCAGATTCTCTGTTTGCCTTTGAGTAAACAGTTCCTAAGATACTTCATTCAGTATCAACCTGTGGAATTTTTTTTTGTATGTATAGAACTTTTCTCCTCACTGTAATCATGATTCTAAATTTGTAGCAACTGCCCCATACAGGGCAGGTGAGCTGAGATCTGTTTGCGTGTGACCTTTTCTATCTGTTCTCCTGCAGCAGGACCTAACAGAAGGACATGGGAAGGGACAGTGAACTGTTAGTCTGCTGATGTTCGTGAACAAGGAGAAACAGTAATGTGCTCAAATTGATATCATTTTATTTTTCAGAGGTTTTTAGCAAGCTTGGTTTAGCTCGACCTGCGTATGGGCAGGATGTTCAGAGAAACTGGAGCGAGTTCAATCATGTTCCATCATCCATTTGGGATCCTTCAGCTACAGATTCCATACCCTCCTGGCCTACAAGCTCAAGTTCACCAACTCATACAACTGCAGTGAGTATTTGGTGCAAATACGGTGTTTTGTTACTGTTACCAACCTGCTCTGTATCTGCTGTGTCATTTTATTTAGAGATTTTTTAAATTTAGATGAAAGGTCAGCTGAGTGCTAATAGTTCCATGAATTGAAGTTGCAATGGCTTTTGGACAATGAGCCGTTAGTCTGCTTGCTTGCAGATGATGAAATTTGTGATGAGAGCATTTACAGCCATGTCTTCCATTTCCACATGCTTCAGACATTCTGCTCCTGTGCTGCTGCTGCTGTCACTTCTAGTTTGATGGACAATTGCAAAATAACCAATGGGATAACTTTCCTATTTTGATTCTTCTTGCTGAATCCAGTGTGGCACCTCTTTGTAAATTAACGTAAGGTTGAAAACCAAAAAGCTCAAGTGTATTCTTTTGAGCTTAGAAATAACACTAGATGACTGAGCTTAAATAGAAGCATTTAAACTGACTGCTAATTTTGTTGGAGATCTTGATGAAAAGGGAGAAAACAAAAAACAACAATACACCAAACATGTAGACTGTAGCATTGCTCTCTCATCCTTATACATTTGCATCAGAAGAAAACTTACAGCGTAGTAATTGTTTTCACTGCAAGGGGAAATCATTCTTCATCTTTTCTTCTGGAAGTGTTTCTGTAGTAAGAGGTGCTGTTTGCATTGCCCACTTGTTTGCTGACCCTTCTCTTGCCCTGTGTTTAAAGCTGCAGTTGTAACATTACTGTGTGAATCTATGTACATAGTGCACATCACTAGATATAAAAAGGAGAGACTGTTCCTTTTACTTGCATAAAGGGCTGATTCCACACATGAGAGAAGGAAGGGCTGAGGACAACCAGAACAGTCTCTAGCTCACAGCCTGTGTCCTAGCCACTAACAAAAGCTACCTGCAGTTGTGCTTCAGGAAGCACTGAGGCAGAAGCCAAGCAAATGATACAGAAGAATTTTTAGTCTCTGCTTTTAAATGATTTTGAGGGGGGAAAGAAAAAGGGCATTTTAGAAGTGAATTGAGAAGATCACAAAAAGCAGCCAACAGATAGAAATGTTCAAGGCCTTTTTAATGACAGTGTTTTCTCAATGCTTGTGGTGAGCCAGAATAGGAAACCTTTGCTATTCCTGCAAGTGAAGCTAAATACAAGACAAGAAGACAGGTACCAGACCAGAGCCTGTGCATTTCCTCTTTCTGGCACAAGAGCCAAATCTCTTCCTGCAAACAGTGTTGTATATTGGCTCCTAGGTTACCTTCTTTTCTAGGAAGGATTCTGGGGAAGTTGACTTTGATTATCATCCTCAGTCCTCTTGCTTTCCCATTTTATGCACAACTCTTTGCCTTCTGTACTAAATAGCATTTGACTTCTGCATCTCATCTCCCTTCAAAGCTTGCAGCATTGGTGCTAGTCCCCCTCAGGTTCTTTCTCACAACAGCCTCTCCATTTTCTTACATGTCGTTCTGTCTTTGGGCCACTTTGGGCTTTTCTCCACAAGCACTGAAAAAGAGTAGCTATCTGTCATATACTGCTCTGCCAGTCCTTTCCTTGTTGTTGCTTCTACTTCATGAGCAACTGCCAGTCTCTCCTAAGTGCTTTTTGGGATACACTGGAATAGTTCCTGGCTCTTTCACCCATAGCAAGAAATAGAGTGGATTTAGTGTGTTAGAGATGCTGTCTGAGCAGCAGGATCAGTGTTTCTTGCTGTAGGCTTAGCAGTCTAATGCTTATATAGCTTAAATGTAACCATTTAGTTATGTAACAGTTGGAAACTGTGACCCTGGTTTAACTCAACATCCCAATGACACTGGACAGTCAGAATGATGCTGGTTAACCCCTTAGTATGCTCAAAATTCCTATCCACCTCTTTGCATCAAGTTCTTTGAGGGGTCTTTGCTGATGTAGTATTGTTCAGCCAGTTTCAGATAAGGTTGAATGTATCTTTTCTGTTCCAAGGGAGAAAAAAAATAAAAGCCTGAAATGAAGACATCTTTAGAGTTCACCCTATTTGCTTTATAAAGAGATTTTTATTTTAATCATCAGGTGCACAGCATACAGGTAGTGGTTATCCTTTAGTGTTCGTTGTGTGAGGAATGAGATCTTGGCAAGGGATGTCCCATCTTCCCCCAGTAAATCCAAACATAAGGAAGTTTGTACTTTATAGCACATACGCAGCAAGTCTCCTGCCACCGGGGTGTTTCAAGTTTACTGTATATTTCCAAACTGGATTTACAGTGTATATGCACTATTAAATCTATTGGCTAGGGTCTTAAGCCTACATGTGGCAGGTTCTGTGTTCATATGAGCATGGGATTTATACTATCCTGTCTCATCTCCATCCCTGGCTGCTTCTGAGTATCCCCTTCCACAACCACCTTCCACTGGTTAGATTCTTCTCTTTGTTGCTTGCTACCATTTGGACTTTGGTAAAACAGTTTACCCAAACTGGGCCTTGTTCATATCGGCATGTGACCTTCTGGGCTTGCTGTGCCTGTCCATTCACCCCAAACTCATTTGTGATGTCATGGTGCAGATGCTGCTGCTCTGCAACACCATTTGTCAGAGAGGCCATTTGTAGAGCCAGGGCAAAGTCACTGGTATTGCCATATGGCCCTTATACCATTCCTTCTCTCTTTGGCTGGACAGCTTAAGGATAGGAGGAAAATGTGTATACTGGGAATATGGGGAGATACTGTGGGCTTGAACATATCATCCAAACTGTGATTCTTTTTTTGAACAGATAAGTGTGGGTACAAGGAGATAGGTTTGCAAGGATCAAAAAAGGATCAAAGATCACTGCTACTTTCCATCACAACTTGAATTTTGTCTTTATCTATCTTGCTCAAGCTGGTTTAATGTGGCTGATGCTTTTTGACCCTTGAATACCGCTGCTGTTTAAATTAGTAATAGCATGGGGATGTATAAGCCCAAATGAAAACAGCTTAAAAGCCTGTAATGTAATTGCACTCTGCAGCCCATTCAGTTTCCAGACACATTTGGTGATCGTTAGCGTGATTCCTCTGGGCAAGGTCTAGTAAAGGTAGTTCAAAACTGTGTCACAGTGGAGGTGGAAGGGCCTCTACAGCAGATCTGGTTTTTTCTAGATACTTTACTTTCAAAGGGACTGTAATAATATCAGTAGTAAAGAAAAAGCTGACGGCAGAGGGTGCCTGGCAGCTACTCATGCAGCTCTGTCTTCACCACAGTCTATCCTTGGCAACCCGAGCGGCCTGTGGTCCACCACTCCATTCAGCAGTTCCATCTGGTCAAGTAATCTCAACAGTGGCCTTCCCTTCACCACTCCAACAAATGCCTTGTCAGGTATTGATCTTATGGGGAACGAAAACTCCTCGCCACCACCTCCTCCATCTGCTGCTGCCACTGTTGCCAATCCGGCTGAAGATATGGGACAGACCTACAATCCTTGGAGAATTTGGAGCCCAACGATTGGAAGAAGAAGTTCAGATCCATGGTCTAATTCACACTATCCTCACGAAAACTGAAACCCAAAGCTAAGCGAAAGAAAAGAACTTGAATCCAGGTCATGATATGATTCTGAATGCAAATTTTTTGAAACATCGTTTTCAGGCGCCTGTTGGTCATGGCTATTTTTTCCCTCCTCTCTCTCCCTCCCCCCGAGTCACACTTTCACCACTTGCTCCTCTTTAAAGTCTATCCTGCAATATGGTAGTGTGAGATTACAGATAAGCTTGGGAAAGTCTGGGTGTGGCCGTAAATCCAACCTACAGCCAAAGCTTGCAAATCTGGACAATTTCACTGCTTCCTATTTCACCATCTGCCATTTCTATGTAGGAAGCAGTTTGAACTACAAAATGGTCCTGGCATGCAATACTTTTATGGAAGCACCGGTTTTGATTTTTAAATTTTTTCCAGTATTACCCTCCAACTTATAATTTAAATAAGAAAAAAGGCACTTTGTGCTAAAATGCAGAGTATTTTTTTAAAAATAAGGCTGTCTTTGTTAACACAGGTTCTAAGAATGTAAAAAAAATGAAAAAAAAAAAAAAAAAAAAATTGAAAAAAGGAAAAAAGAAAAAAAGAAAAATTCCACAACAGAACCAACACAGAACCTTAACAGCAAAATGGCTGAATGTAAGAGCATTCTGTTAAGACTGTAACACACTTTCTGTGCTCTTTGTACATTTGTAAACCTGAATGCATTTTTAAGTTGAAACGAAATGCACACAGCCAAGACTTGTGGAAAAAACAAGATACCTTGTGCATTTCTTATGGCTACAACTTTGGGTTGTACTTTAAAATAAATACTGCTTTTTTCAAGATCTGCCTACTGCAATTTTCTTCTCCGTGTGTTATCTGAACTTGTGCATGCACAGATCCGCCTGGTGGTGGTAACCTTCAGGCCAAAATCTACTGTGCATGGAGCCTATATGAACAGAAACTTCCCTGCCAATTAAAACTGGCATCCTCAACTGTATGAGTTTGTAGAGCATCTGATATGTTGTTTTCAGGGTCACACAGAGCATTGATGCCGTCCATGTGGAGACTTTCTGGATAGCAAAATGCTGTAAAACATCTCTACTGTTCAAGTTTGTAAGAACCAGGCATAGCAGCTGCTGTTTATGCTACGCCCATACCTTTGTAACCTTTGGTCTTACATGGATCTACAGTGCTTTACTATTTTTGGACTGAGTTTCTCACTCTTCAGTGTGTTTGTTTCTCTGCACTAACAGTAAGGCAAGGCTCAGTGACTGAATACATTCATCTATGCTACAAGAAAGCAGCAATACCGTCGGTGACACAGATTCACTTACCATTCAGTGGCACTACTCCAAATTTACAGCAGATTTTTATCAGAATCCATTATTTTAAAGAGAACATTTCAATTTGCTACAAAGAATGCTGTATGCAACAAAATATAAGGGTTAAACAATTGAGACTCACCATTTTTCAATCTAGCATTATGTGAACAAAATCTCCCCAGGTGCCAGGTTGCTCTTCTCTCGCTGTCACCAGCAGCTGCAGGAGGTATGGATCTCCAAAGTGGGCATCTGTAAGAACTCCTTTGTTCTTAAAATTTGGATATTTCTAGAACCGTGCAAGATAATGAAATGCTCAGTGTGGGTTCATATGGAATTTCCTTTTGAGTAACTGGGCAAACAAGTCTCTTCCTGCGTGCAAAATAAAGAGTTAGTTAAGCTACTGGCATGCCAGGGCCTGCTTCCCTGTGAGATGGGACTGGGGGAGATAACAGCAGTAAGTTCAAGGTGAAGAAAGCTGCTGAAGTTAATGTAACGTACAACCCTATTTCCCTGGGAGGTCTTTATGTAGGAAGTGATTCCATGGAAGATATAAAGAGAAATGAATTCGAGGTACTGCTATTCCCAGTGGCTTGAGCAGTTGTGAAGAAAGAAAATAATTTCTGCTTTGAAAATTTCCCTTTGAACAAGACAAGGCAACGTATCTAATTTAGACTTTTGCCCCCCGAGTGTGAGCCATTCCCTTGTGAAGGCAGCAAAGGTTATTTGCATTAATACAACATTCTCAGCTCTTGCTTTTGAAAAGTTTCTTTTCAAACACCAGTTAAAAATTATTATTTATGGTCCAGGGGCAAAGCAACTCAAAAGTTTGAGATCTTTAACAGATCATTTTCAGTTTCATAAGAGAAACAGCATGGAGTCATTCAGCATTTAAAGGAAAGCCCTAGGCCAAAAGGCTCCTTCTCTGAGTGTCCGCTCTTCCTTTTCTCGATACAGAGCTAGCTTCGGAGAGCACTCTCACTTTGTTCTGCCTGGTTAAAGTAATCAAGAGAACTGCCTCTTAAAAAAGCAAACAAGTACATGAATCCTAAGTAATATACCCAACATAGACAAATGAAATAGGTCAAAAGTCAGGGGTTTCTAAAGAAACACTCTGAGTGTGGGATGTGTGTAGAACAGAAACCTCAGGAAGGAAACAACGAAGCTTCCTTGCTGGCTCTATGATAGTCAGTTTTCATGGGCATAGAAAATGCTGGCTGGTGAGTGGCATGGTTACCTCTAAGTCCCAAGGTGGATGCTTCTAATTTTGTAATGAATTAAATCATTCAAGAGTGTTCTAAGCAGGTTCTTTGAGGATGTGCAGCCCTAGGAAACACGGAGCTCACAGCCCTTCTGATAATTTAAAACATTCTTTGTAGTTCAGAGTACTACAAGGGGCAGACTACCCTGAGTCAGCTTTTCTTTTCCAGACCTGGAAGCTGCTGGGAATACAAAGTTCCCAGCAACGAAGAAAAATAATTACCATTAATTGCCTTAATTATTTTGGTGCTCTAAATGGTGTTTCTACTCTGCCAACTCTAGCAAATAAACTTAAAATGCCTGCAGGGTTCCTGCCCTGTTTTGAAATCTGGCCGCCTGAACTGGGTAAGTATGTTCCTAATGTGCAGTCAGTTTAGTTGGCACTAGAATCATAGAATCATGGAATCACCAGGGTTGGGAAAGACTTCTAAGATCATCCAATCCAGCCGTCCATCTACCACCACTATTTCCCACTAAACAGCGTCCCTCAGTACAACAACTTAGTTTTCCTTGAACACCTCCAGGGATGGTGACTCCCCCACCTCCCTGGACAGCCAGTTCCACTACCTGACCAGTCTCTTATAGATGTATTTCCTAACATCCAACCTGAATCTCCTCTGATGCAACTTGAGGCTGTTCCCTCTAGTCCTATCACTCACTGTTACATGGGAGAAGAGGCTGACCTCCACCTCACCACAACCTCCTTTCATGTTGTTATAGAGAATGATAATGTCTCTCCTGAGCCTCCTCCGTACTCCCAGTCCCCTCAGCTGCTCCCATAATTTGTGCTCCAGACCCCAACCAGTTTCATTGCCTTTCTCTGGATGTGCTCCAGTTCCTTGATGCCTTTCTTGTAGTGAGCCACCCAAAACTGAGCACAGTATTTGAAGTGCAACCTCACCAGTGCTGAGGACGGAGGAACTGTCACTTCCCTGCTCCTGCTAGCTGCACTATTTCTGATACGATCCAGGATGCCACCCTTGGCATCTTGGCATCCAATGGCCCTTTTTGTCACCTGGGCACATTACTGGCTCTTGTCCAGCCGACCATCAATCAATACCCCCAGGTCCCTTTCTTCCACGCAGTCCTCCAGCCACTCTGCCCCAAGCCTGTAGCATTGCCTGGGGTTGTTGTGGTCAAAGTGCAGAGCTGGGCACTTGGTCCTGTTGAACCTCATCCCAATGGCCTCAGCCCTGCAATCCAGCCTGTCCAGATCACTTTGTAGGATCTTCCTACCCTCAGGCAGATCAGTGCTTCCTGCCAACTTGGTGTCACCCGCGGGCTTATTGAGAGTGCACTCAGTGCCCTCATCCAGGTCGTCAACAAAGATACTGAACAGGACAGACCCAAGTTTAGCTCAGTTTCAAAAAAGAACCTCTTGAAAGGCTTTGGAGATTTTGGTTACAAGCATAATACTGCATCAGGAAAGACTGTAAATGACATGAAAGCACAGTTACATTTTATTTCACATCTATGAAAAGTTAGGATGATCCAGTGTAACAGCAGATGGGTCTGGATGGGGCCCTGATGTTGGACTTTGAGGGTAAGTACCAGAGCCTGGCAAATACTCAGTCACAGAAGTAACAAGTGGTGCATCTTGCCAACAGTGGAGTGTCACAGTCAAATTATACTGAAGTTTTCTACTGGACTGCCTGACCGCACACCCGCTGCTGCGCTTCAGAGGTGAATTGAAGAGTACACAAGTGTTGACTTGTATGGGGTAAGAAACTATCTTTCACTGGAAGGATTTCACTCAGTGATGCTTTACACTGAGTATAACTTTGACTTTGCCTTGTCTGGTTTGCCACCCTGTAATTTGGAGCAAGTATTCTCAGCTTCAGTATTTTGGCCTTCTGAACCAATGAGTCACAGAACAAAGAGCTGCTGAGACCGGGGATGGCCCAGCTTCTGCGGTGCACTCAGCGCTTCCAGGAGGGCCTTCAGTAATCTCATTTAAACAGGTTTTTCTTCAAAACAATTCTGCCCAGTGCCTGCTTTCATCCAGGACCAGTCAAGGGTAGACTTGGTGTTCAACTGCTGTTCTACTGGCATCAATACTGAAGCTATCTGCAGAATGCCTGGACCAGCACACCCTTCAGCAGCCCACCCAGTGGGCCTTCAGGAAGGACCATACAGCTGGGACCTGACTTCACTCTATTGGTCTAAGGTGAGACAAATGTGTGAGTCAGAGTTTCATCAGTATGGTAGCTTCGGGGGGTACACTCAGTCTCTGCTTAAGTTTTGTAACCTAATGCCAAGTCCAAGTGGCAGAAGGAAGTGTGAGACTTCCCATAAAAGGATTCTACAAGGGATATATGCCAGAGAGTATGTACAGAAGTGAAACAAATAGAGGGGAAACAAACAGACTGTCTCAGAGTCCGAGACAGACTCTTAGAAGCTGTGAAAAATTGCAGTTGAATTACTCACCCTAGACAAGACAAGGGATTGGAAGCCTGTTGTCCCACAAGAGGACAAAGATGTTGGCTGGGAGTTGGGGGAGGTGCCTTTCAGAAACAGATACAGGCTGTCCATTTCTAATTTTGAAGCTAATAAAACATTCCTGGGAAAAAGAAAAAGAAAGAAAAAGATGTTCTGGAATGTTTCTTGGGCTTTTTTTGGTATGGAGCTACAGCAGGGTGAAGTCACTTGTTATTTTGGCTTAGTTATAAGGCAATTGCTGGGAAGCACAAGTCCACCAAGGGGGCAAGTATCAGAACAGTTTGTGCACCACCCAATATCGTTCCCTGGCCCATTTCAGAGCTGTTCTCAGGGAAGACAATATTCACCAGGCTAAGAGGCATTTTTTATGGCAATGCAGGAAGACAACAAAAAGCAGGGGGATGGTCTCCCTCTCTCAAAAGGGGAAAACCCAGAAGCTGAAACTGGACAAGAGACTGGAATGCTCCCTAGTATGCTGCTTCCCTGGCTGAAGAACTTTTAGCCCCAGTCTACCTGGCATCGCCCATCCGATAGCAGTCAGGCCACCAGCAAAATCTTGCCAAGATTAGAGTCTGGAAATAAAGAATGAAGGAAATCCCTAAAAATTATGCAGTGCATAGAATGGCTCTGACTGAGCTTACAATTCTTGCAGTAACTCCTGTTGTGCTGTACGTGCTGTGAATCTCTTAGGACAATGGTATCTTCAAGGAATATTCACTTGCATCTCACTCCTAACCAGGCTGAGGGAGCTGGGCTTGTTCAGCCTGGAGAAAAGAAGGCAGTGGGGTGACCTCACTGCAGCCTTTCAGTACCTAAAGGGAG